AATAAATCATCTATCTGAAACTCTAAAATTATAATAACTAAAAGTCTGTAAAAATTCTTAGGAATAGCTACTATTATAAGGTTAAATTCTGACAAGTTTAAAATTTTTTAGGCAGTTACTTTGGCCGGAATAAATATTAATATTAATTATTCAATGCCGAAAACCCTATGTTATTTTTATAGCTGCAACGCGGCGAGGGTTATTATCAGTGCTGTCAATTTGCGGGTAAATGCTCACATCGGTGAGCATTTAGATATGCTGTGGGGTAAAGTGTGAGGATTAACTTTTTGTGAGGATTACTACTACTACTGGAAACATTGAATTATTTTAATAGTATACAATAAAATTATTAATTTATTTAAAAAAAAATATTTATTTTTCGGTCCGGCAACACTGATGATCGATAGTTCAGTGACTGAACTTCAGTCTGTCTATGACATCACATACTTGTGGAAGTAGTGTATGACATTACAAAATACAAACGAAATCATGTGTGCCAACAGAATAAGATTAAAATGTAATACAAACAAAAACTTCGTTTATTTTGCATGGTTTAATTTTATTTAGTAATGGATAAGTGGCTTAAGAAATTAAGTTCAAATACGGTAAGTTATCAATAATATACTGTTGAAAAACTTTATTTTAATAATTATTTTTTAAGTGAGTATTTATGCTGGATTTATGCAGCACAAATTAACATTAAGATTAAGATTAACATTAACATTAAGAAGTTAAATGAAGGTAATCCATTGGAAGCTTTTATGCAACACATTAACATTAACTAAAGCATTAAGTTAACATTAATAGATGGCCAACTTTTATCTTCTTAATGATAATGTTAATTTTTATTCCTCCTGCGCAGGTTTGCGGCGCAATTTTTAAATAAACCGTGTCAGTAATGCCAACATACCCGAAAAAAAATGAAACTTACTGCTGAATGATTAATTTTTTATTCAATGATTGTGTTCTTTGGTTTATTGTTTGACGTGGAGTTTATAGTTTTCATTTATTTTACTTAACAGATGCTAAAACGGGATTAAAACAAAATTCAAACAAATAAAAAATGTCAGATGTCAAAATTACTTTAACTTATACGCATGCTTAATTTGCTACTAATTTTGCTGCATAAATACCCTCCTATTAATGTTAAATTAATCTTAATCTTAATGTTAATTTGTGCTGCATAAATCCACCATTACTTATAAATAAAATTAAAAAATTAATTTATTAATTGTTTATTATTTGTTTTTAATAAAAAAATCTGGGATGATATAAATGTTTTTTAATATAAATAAGTGATAACTTATTAAATTGTATATCTTATTATTTTTTTAAGTTTTGGTGAGGATTTTGTGAGGATTTTGATTTTATTGCGAGGATTACTGTGAGCATTTTGAAAACCTATTGCGGGTATTATCGCAGTTCTCGATTGACAGCACTGGTTATTATTGAGATAGGGACTTAAAACTTGGAAAATATATTTTTTTATTTATTTTGAACACTATGAGCCCCTGAGAGCAAGAAAATTCAAAAATTCTCAAAAGGTGGACCCTAGTATACATATATTATTTATTAATTTTTTATTGATTTCCCAAAATAGACTTTGGACGTGACACCCAGAAATTTTTTTGCCAGCAGCTTTTCCCGTATAAGGGCCCCTACCAGATTTTCGATACGGGGCCCCCTCGAGGCTAGCTACGCCACTGGTCTGAATACCAAATTTTTACTTATTTAACAAGACATATCGACTATAATGTGACTAAAGTAATTTATTTTAAATAAAAATTTTAGTATACTGAGGCTTCTTGATTTCTAACAGTTTAAAAAAACATTAAATGATAACATTTCGAATGAGAATATTTCAGAAACGGTTGAGTTTAGGTTTATGGTTTGTTATATGAATTATGCTCAGAATTTTACAAGGAATCGAAAAATAAATTCATATATAGGGTGATCCATTGAAAAAGAAATAAACTTTTTGGTTTTCCCTGTATACTGATCAATTTTCCATTTTTCTTTATACGTAGAAAACTTTTCTATCCAGTCTGACGTAAAATAAATAACCCATAACTTAAAGTAACAAATTTTGACATTTAAATTTGGCATTTTCTAACATTGTTGTTTGTTGTTATGATGATTAAGAATTAAACTATTACTTTGTTATGAGGCAATGTTGCCTTATAAAGAAAATATGACTCCCCTGTATCTTATTAAATAATGAAGAAAGAATTTTTTAAACAACTTTCTGGAATTCCTGGGGGTCTTTAGATAATACACCTTCATTTTGTCGCACTAATTGTGGGACACCCTGTATAACCACACTTTTAAATTTTTTGGGACACTTAAAATAAAAAAGTTAAAGGGGGGCGACATTATAGGGGATCACCCTGTACATACCTAATTGGTAATAAAGTTAAATAAAAATATTTTTGTTCATTTGGAAAATTTTATGCGGTCCCTTAAATACTCATTTACGATATTGGCGCGGTGCGGACGGGCATTGGTTATACCAAAAAATTAACTTAGATCGTCTTGAGGCACGTTTTGTTTTTAATTTAAAAAAATCCCAGTGTTTTTTCATCAAAAAGAAGTTTTTTAGGGGGCGTCGCAAAAATTTTTATTTTTAACGACCACCCTAATGTACATTAGGATGGAGTGAAAAAATTGTTTTTTCCTTTGATGTAATAGTTACAAAAAGATTCCTTTAGGGTTAAATAATATCCATACCAATTTTTGTTTCAATCGCTTTATGTTTAGTGGGTCCTCCAAACCCATTAATGTCAGAAGAAAAGTTGAAAATTACATTTTTTTAAATTTTTATATAGCAGCATTCTTTGCATGTAAATATGAATAAAGTTTATTTGTTTAAGCAATATTACTAAAAGTGGTAACTGTGATCCATCATTTATAGGGCCTGCCACGACCTTAAATTAAACGTTATATTTCTTTATTTAATAGTTCTCAATTGAGCTCCATACTTGTCCATAAGTGAAGGAGTGGGAGTTTTATTAAATTAAAATTTATAATTACAAATTATTATTTATATTAATTTGTAATTAAAAATTTTAATTTAATATAAAATACCAACTTTCGAAACCAAAAAAGAATATAAATTTAAAAAGTAAATAATATTTTTTTAAGGTGGTGAAAGTCATAGGTCCTATAGGAAGCTATAGGTACCTAAGCTAGCTTAGGTTGGTAGGTGGGGCTGGGAGGTGTAGGAGCTCGATAAGCAGTCCTACACGCGGTGAGCTCAGGGTTTTTTTTTTATTTAAACAAAGTAAGCAAGAAACTGATTTGTATACTATAGTAAACTAAAACTAAACGTGTAAATAGTGATATATTGTGAATTTTATTAATTCTGGCGGACCCTGTAAATACTAAAATGTTATTAAAACTATAATTTTGCTATGTAGGGATATGTATGTTTAAACCACAGGTTTTTTTGCTTTTAGAAAAAAAAGTTGTAAAATATATTTTAATATGCCTTAAAACTAATAGACTTTTTTTCAATAAAATTTGATTTTTTAAAGACTCGGACGACCCTCAAGACAATTTTTTATCTTAAATTGCAAAAAACTTTTTGAAAATAAAACATTGGCAAGCAACTTTTTTTAACTATTAGAAATCTGAAACTAAAAAAAAATGTTTTTGGCCTTTTTCACTCCACCCTAATGTACATGTATATCCATGGCTACATTATGTACCGAATAAATTCGGTACACTTTATTTTTCCGGGACGGAGCGCCGCGGGGCGCCGCCGTGCTCCAAAAACTGTAACTGGAACCTTTCTTCCGAAAGGCAATTTACCAACTTTAATTTAAAGCTCGAGCTTTTTGATCAAATGTTATTCAATAAGTTTATTTTTATGACAATGAAATACCTACCTACACAATAGTGACTTAAATATCAGAGCAAAATTTTGACATTTATCACTTTCTATCTTCACTACTTCGTTAAAAAGTTATTAATAAAACATTAAATTAAACTTTTTGTTTTCTAAAAGCTGAAAATCGTAAAAAAATGAAGTAACCTACCTACAGTTAAAATTTTAAATTTCTTAAATTAGGTACCTACCTACCTACATAAATGAATTTTTTAAATTATATAGGTATCAAGGATATGCACTTCTATAAAAAATCGTATGTATAAAATTTAGCTAGGCATGAAAGAAAAATAGCATCATGTCTGCAGACATATTTTTTAAATTTGGTTGATATAAAATTGAAGTTTTAAAGTATTTTTGATATTTAACTATAGCGAAAAATGTACTTACCCATCGCCACAATCAGGGATAACTTGAAAATTTAAGTCCGGCAAGAGAAAATCATGATTTTCCATTACAATTTTTGGTTTTTATGCTGGCGACAGAACTATACGTCCAAATTTTGGTTACTAACATAAACGATAAATCGGCCATTATTGCAAATTTACTCGTATAGTCAAAATATTTTAATTAATATTTAAATTTGTGCGAGTTTGTTGTCAGAAATATCTTTATTTGACGTTTTTTATTAATCAAATGGAAGTTTTTAAAACAATTAATTGCTTTAATTTTGTTTATTGTAAAAATGTAAATAATTGAATTTTAATTTTTTGAGTCAATTGACTATTTTTTATTGCTTAAAAAAAGTAGGCGGGAAATTAATTTTATACCATGCATTAGAGAATCACCATAACAAATTCATATTTTGATTTTATTTTTCGTTTTCAATCAGCAAACATAAATTAAACTAGACACAACAAAAAGTCTTGAATAAATAACTAATTTAAAATTAAAAGAAACATAAATAATGTCTTAATTTCAAGTTTAAAATTAGATGACGTCATTTATACCGGTTAATCATACCAACATTTCTATTTGAAATAACTTTTAAAAAGTGATATTCTAACCTAATATATTTAAATTTCAAACTTATTTATGTTTATGTTTTTTTTATAATAATAATTCATTAATGTTTTCAGTGGTTTTAATACGTGGAGAAATTTGAAAACAGTATTTTCTGTAAAAGTTTATTTAATAAAATTATCACATTAAATAGCCCTAATTTTAACATAGTCTACAAGTAAAGAAGAATCAGTCCATGATGATTTCCAGTTGCTTGTTTGATTGTAGAAATCTTTAAACATGTCACGATCAGAATTTTTCCAAGGTTTGCTGTAACCATTTGAAGTGCTGCCTTCAGGAAAATCATTTATGCCTCCCACACCAACTCCAAGTACCAATTGTGCCTAAACAAAAAGCAAAAGGTAAGTTTTTAAATTAATATTAAATATTTTGTTATTTATAAAATTACCGAATTTTTGAAAGCAGGAGTTAAAGTTGTTTCTCCATATTTTGCTCCATCCACATATAATTCAATTTTTTCTAAAAATTAATGAGTTAAATTCTTAGACCTTGCAAAATAGTAAATAGTATGGTAAATACTTTAACTTTAACATGTGGTAATGCAGAACTCAAATGTTGTACGGAAACAAAGCAAAATCGGATAATATATTAAAATTACAGTACTTATACGTTACTCTATACCCTGTATATTATATTATATAATTTTATTTACCTGGTGTCCATGATACTTTATAAACATGGATAGCTTCTGTAAAAGCTTTTTGTGATTTTTGCTTTTGAAGAGAAGCAAACTTTCTAAACGAGAGACTCTCATCGGGGCCACCATAAAGGCATGAACCTCCAATATTTTCTCCATTAAAATTTAGGGCTTTGTTGCCTCTTGCATAAGCAATGTAAATTCTTTCTTTTTGATTGGAATTCATTTCCAAGTAAATTTCTAAAATAAAAAAATGGGAATTCAACAATATTTATACAATATATTTATATAATTTTTTTGTATTACCTGGGTATATCCAATCACCAGTGGGTAATTTAGCTTTAATTTCCACTGTTCCATAAGTAAACTTAAATTTGGAAGTTAATTTACCAGATTTGATTGGTGGCAAAAATATGGCACCAAATTTTTGTACGCATTCTGTAATATCAGATCTTGTGCACCTAAAAATATGTTTATGTATTAGAAAATTAAATTTTTTTTTTCAAGGATAGATATTAACAAAACAAATAATTTAAAATACGTATGTTTAAATATAATCATAAAAATTCTTGTTGGGAATGTATGCAATGTTCAATATTTTTTAACTGTTTGTTAATTCCCTAGTTTTGTGGAAAAAATAAACATTAAATTTTGGTTTATAATTTTTATAGTGGGTACTGATTTAGTACTACTAAAGGTAAGAATTTTACAGAAAATTTCCAAATGGTTAAAAAAATTCAATATTTCATAAATTAGATGTAATTGAAAAAAGAGTAATTACATATTATAAGTACTAAAATTTATAAAAAATTATATAACATACTAACCCTTTTTTTAAGTCTAAAGACTGTCCCAGTTCCTGTTTTGTTAATACTGTGGGTGTAATTTTTAATTTATTATCTATTACTTGGCAAGCAGAGCTCTGATATGAAACAAATTCATAATCCTAAAAAAGTTGTATTAACACTTAATTATATTTAAGTTATAATCATGCTATAAATATGTTCTATTCAATAGTGCTAAGTAGATTCTCTTCATAGAATTAGTTAAAAAACTGGGTACCTATACTGTAAAATGTATATGCATATCACTTCAATATTTTCAAAATAAATTAACAACTAGTTATGTTTAATTTTAGGTAAGTATGTCAGAAAATAAATTGCAGTTTTTTAAGATTTTTAAAATAGGCATGACTCATGACACATTGCTTTAAAAAATTGTAATATACCTACATATTTATAGGTATGTAGGTAGGTATATTAAAATGTTTTAAATGAAACCACAATTTTTAAATCAACAAAAATTTATAATGACATTTAACCAGAGGCACCTTAAATAAAATTGTTAAGAGTATTTTTTTATCAAGGATTTTTTAAAATTAAAAATACATAATAACTTTATTAAAATTGGTTTGTTTGATACTGGTATATTTACAATTCGAATTGTTCTTGTGAAATCATTGTTTTTTAATGTTGTTTATCTTACGTGAAATATACACTCGCGTGCAAAATAATCGGCCCACACAAATTTTCGATGAATTTCAATCGCAAATAACTTTTTTATTTGATGTCGGATTTAAACGAATATTAAAGAATATTGTAGATAAATTAATGGACAATCGCTCACATTTTAAAAAAATACTAAAAAATAGACGTACGTTTATAATATACAGGTTTAAACAAAAAGATGTTTTTTTACCATGAGTTTAAGACACTCTGTAGAGTGGCAAAACCGTATATTGTTTTAAATTAAGTTTTATTTATCAAGTCACATCTATTCTTAACAGTTTTGTTTTTGGTTCACCTCGATATATTTATTTTTGTGGAAAATATGGATTTTTTTAAAAAACATTGCACTTTCCAATATTTTTCTGTATGAAGAACTAAGGTTGCTATGGTCCATCCATAGGCTATGGAGAATGACAGTGACAGTTTTATTGAATCATCCCATACTTGGACATGTTATACACGGCTTTTAAAAGCTATCAAATTGTTTTTTGCAAATTATTGTTTAAATTTTGAGGTGTCTTCTTACTTTATAAAAAGGATATGTCTCCGACTGATGTTGCCAGAGCTATTAATTTAATCCAGGATGGACGGTCACAGTATTACGTGGCAAGTGTTTTAAACGTCATAAGAAGTAAAGTACAAAGGGCAATATCAGTCGGAGTCATTTTTAAAAGTAAGAAGACACCTCAAAATTAACACATTAATTTACAAAAAACAATTTGATAGCTTTTGAAAGCTGTATGTGACATGTCCAAGTATGGGATGATTCAACAAAACTGTCACTGTCATTCTCCATAGGCTATGGATGGACCATAGCAACCTTAGTTCTTCATACAGGAAAAATATTGGAAATTGCAATGTTTTTTAAAAAAATCCATATTTTCCACAAAAATAAATATATCGAGGTGAACCAAAAACAAAACTGTTGAGAATAGATGTGACTTGATAAATAAAACTTAATTTAAAACAATATACGGTTTTGCCACTCTACAGAGTGTCTTAAACTCATGGTAAAAAAACATATTTTTGTTTAAACCTGTATATTATAAACGTACGTCTATTTTTTAGTATTTTTTTAAAATGTGAGCGATTGTCCATTAATTTATCTACAATATTCTTTAATATTCGTTTAAATCCGACATCAAATAAAAAAGTTATTTGCGATTGAAATTCATCGAAAATTTGTGTGGGCCGATTATTTTGCACGTGAGTGTATTTTATTTTAAATATACCTACATAAATAAAAAGTAAAAATAATGGCGATGTCTCCGATTTGCTTTAAACTTTAAAAGTCTAGAAAGGGACCCAAAATATTAAAAAATGTCAGCTTTTTATGCATTTTTGAGGATTTTACAGTATAAAAAGTTAGTAGATGACTTTATTTTAGAGTATTTCCAAATTAAACAGTGAAACATTTTACAAAAATTCACACACACCTTTTTTAAGCTGCCTTTCGAATACAATTTTTTTTAAAATGTTAATTTAAGAAAATTAAATAAAAACAATTTAAAAAAAAACAAAATGATATTTAATTTGTCATTTTTTAACATAAACTTGAGACAATACTTAGTAACCAAAAAGTAACGAGTAAAGAGTAACTAGCTAGTCACTAGGCAGTAACTAGTTATTAACTATAGTTATATATACAGGGTGTCCCGAAAATAGTGCGCAATATTCTACAATCGGGTTTTAGGGCCAAAATCGTAAGGAAGGTCGGCAAATGGTCCCTAAGTGACCTCTTAAAGGGGCACCCCTGATGGTTTTTTATTAATATTTCCGAAACGGTTTGAAATAAAATAATGTATTTTTGGGACACATGTATTTTTCTATTAATATTTCAGTTTAAATATGTAGGTATATTAAATTAAGAAAGAAAAAGTTTTTTTTTATTTTAATTTGGAAATGTTGAATTTCATCAATGTTCACCAAGAGTGCGTTTTTAAAAAAAACTCTAAATTTTTATATTCTGCGGCCAACTTGTAAAAAAATGCATACACAAAAAAGTTAGTGCTAAGAATATCCTCCTAAATAAAAAAATTAAATTTTGTTTTCACGTTTAAATTAAGAATAAAAAGTTAGTTAATCATACAAAATTTCATTATTTTATCTCACAACCGTTTCATCTTCAAGGGCGCCCCTGAGGCTGTAGCTCCCTATATTTATAAGAACTTGTGTTTTCTTTACGTTCCGACAGATTTCCAACAATCAGTCGTTCGGTTTTAGGCGTGATGAAGAGAAAAATTCATAAATTCTGCAATTTTAGAGTGCCAGAAAAAAATGAATAGGTACTTAAAATTTGCCCAAATGTTGGTTTTTTCAAATATCATTTTGTTAATTACAAAAATTGTTTTTTGTAACTACTTTTTTTTTTAAACTTTTTAATAAAAATTTTAAAAATAGTTTTATTTAAAGCCAGCTTAAAAAGGTATGTGTAAATTTGTTCAAAATTTTACACTGTTTAATTTTGAAAATAAATTTTGATTTTTTTAATTTTTTGGTTTTCTCTATAGTAATTAAATTGGTGAGATTTTTATTTTGAGAAATCATTTTCAAAAATCAATTTAAAAGTTTAAAATGCATTTTTGTAAAATGATATTAATTATTCTACAAAATTTAATTTTTATATTTTATAAAATTATTAAAATATTCTCACAAAAATGTATTTTGAACCATACAGGTTGAGTTTTAAGTTGACGTGTTCCTTTTAACAGCGTGTAGAAATTAGATAGACAAATAAATATTTTAAGTAACTTTTTTATCAAAACACAAACATAAGAGAGTTATAGCCCTTCAAAATTCAATTAAATTTTGAGCCGGTCCTGGCTATTGTTAACAAAAAACATAACCATAAAAATAAAAATAACAAAATAAACAATGCAAAATGTCATCTACAAATATAACCATTTAAATCAAAATGAAATTTAGCAATGAAAAATGTCATTATTTACTTAAGTTTTTTTGGGCCTCAATCACGGTCTTATAAACTAATCGAATAAAGTTAAGCATATTAAGATATTTTGACCAAAACATAAATTTAACGATACAATTTTATACGCCCTGTATAATTTATTTTATTATTTTGTTATCTATGTTATTTGGTAATAAAAACTTAAAAATAAAAGAATTTTAGACAAAAAAGTCGAAAAAACGCATTATAGGCATCAGTCGCTATTCATTTTGATTTCAACTTTGTTCAAAAATATGCTTAACTTTTTTCGATCAGTTTATATATATAAGACCGTGGCCTCAATTATTTGTTAAAAATGTGTCGTTTTGGTTTAAATGGTTATGTTTGTTGTCATAAATGACATTTTGCATTGTTTATTTTGTTATTTTTATTTTAATAGTTATTTTTTTTTTGTTAACAATAGCCAGGACCTACTCAAAATTTAATTAAACTTTGAAGGGCTATAACTCGCTTATTTTTGAGTTATGATAAAAAAGTTACTCAAAATATTTATTTGTCTATCTGATTTCTACACGCTGTTAAAAGGAACGCGTCAACTTAAAACTCACCCTGTATGTATTATCTGTATTGCAGGTCTACCCACAGCAATCCAACAAAATTGTTTTAAAAAATGTTAGGTACCTTTATTATTTAAAAATATATGAGTTTTTAAACATAAAAAATAATAGGTTTACCTTGTTTATATTGTTTTAAGTCTTATATATAGATTAGGCCTAATGTACGTAATATTTCATTAGAAATTATTGTTTTATATTATAAAAAATTACTTTAACAATACAAATGGGGTATACAGGGTGTGTCATTTTTAAGCAACTTTTTTTTTTCAACTAAAAAACAGGTTAAAAACTTTCAGGAAGGTGAAAAAAGAAACCTCTAAAAATTTGAGCTCTTAATATTAACATTTAGTGATGCCTGTTCCTAACTTTCTATTTTCCATTTAAATAACATGGAATTTTTTTTTCTTATTTTTGTAGCTTGACATTTGAGCATTGTAAAAACGAACTGAAAAATTATTTTGGTAGTAAATTGAACGCTCTACAAAAAAGTTTCAATATATTTTTTCATAGAGTGAGCCGTTCTGAAGGTATTCAAACTTAAAGTTGCCTTTAACATTTCGAATCGCGGCACGTTAGCGTGCCTCTAGTCACTGTGTAATCCGAACGGTAATATACCGACTGAGCCGATATAATCTTTTATCATAGTTATCGACTTTAAAATTATAAAAAAAGGAAGATTAAAAATTCAATAAAATAACAAATTCATTGTTTTATTTAATCTATTATAATTATTGAACAAATTTATTGAACACAAATAACTTTTTTTGATAGTAAATAAAATAAAATGGAAAAAAATTGAGATGTACATAAGTGTTATTTTCTTTCTATACGAAAATAATTATTTTTTTTTTAAATAATTTTTAAGACATAAAAAAGTATTAGTCTGTGATTAGTTTAATAAAATAAAAGTCATAATTTCATACATTTGCAAGTTTGAATACCTTCAGAACGGCTTACTCTATGAAAAAATAAATTAGTACTTTTTTGTAGAGCGTTCAATTTCCTACCAAAATAATTTTTCAGTTCGTTTTTACAATGCTTAAATGTCAAGATACAAAAATAAGAAATAAGAATTTTTTTCCATGTTATTTAAATGGAAAATGGAAAGTTAGGAACAGGCACCACTTAATGTTATTATTAAGAGCTCAAATTTTTAGAAGCTTCTTTTTTCACCTTCCTGAAAGTTTTTAGCCTGTTTTTTAGTTGAAAAAAAGAAGGTGCTCAAAAATGACACACCCTAACAAATGCTATATCCTATTTATATAAAATATATTATTGGTATTCTTAATTTATTAAATAAACAATGATGATTTGCCAAATAAGCTGTATAGATGCAAAATTCACTGTTTGATAAATATTCAGTTTCAAGATATGTATCTAAAGAAAAATGTTTTGGGTACCTTAACTTTTAGTTTGTACTTTTAAGTTTGTATTATTAAGTTTACGGTTATATAATGTAGGCTAATCGCCCCTAGGTCGGATGTTTATTTTTTAGTTTACAACTAAAAAAATGCAAAGATCAAATTAAATATTTGGATACACCCCTGTTAAATGGCTAAATTATTGATGCAAATCAAAATCTTAATTTTTACTAAAATACGTACTGGCCCTTGGTTAGGAATGTAATGCTCAACAGTCCATTTGTTACTATCAATACCGGTACCAAATTCATCTTCAAAAATGACTTGATTAATGCAACCCTTAGATCCCCCATTAACTAAAGTATTAGCTGCATTGCATTGATTTTCAGACGGCTTTATCAGTCCTAAAAAAAATTAATTTTGATATTAGTTCCCTTGCTCGGAGCAGTCGATAACAGACCGCTGCCACAAAATGTATGGCTAACCACAATCCACACAACAAGGTCTGTTCGATCTCGTACTAAAAATACTAAAACTCACAAAAATGGCCGCCATTAAATGATGTGCAGTGTTGCAGTGATTTTTACTATTTTTAGTATAGTAGAGGATCCCAAGTAAGGTCGACCTTCACCCATCTGCTTACCAGATGAAAATTATATTTTATCAAATAAAATATGTTTCTGAACATAAACCAATAGGGTTGCCATAAAAAATATGATCAAGGCTAGCTATAATAAATAAAAAATTAAAAAAAAATAATTAATTTTTTAAATTTCACCGACTTGCTTGCCAAATGAACGAAATTTCAATGGAAAGCATACAACATACAGAATATGTAACAGCTAGGTTGCCTACCTTTTTCTGGTCCCTATTACCTGGTTGCTTTGTACAGGGTGATCCCCTATAATGTCGCCCCCCTTTAACTTTTTTATTTTAAGTGTCCCAAAAAATTTAAAAGTTTGGTTATGTAGGTACTAAAAAATACTTTTTTTCTACGTATAAAGAAAATTGGAAAATTGATCAGTATACAGGGAAAAACAAAAAGTTTATTTTTTTTCAATGAATCACCGTATATATGAATTTATTTTTCGATTCCTTGTAAAATTCTGAGCATAATTTATATAACAAACCATATACCTAAATTCAACCGTTTCTGAAATATTCGCATTCGAAATGTCATCATTAAATGTTTTTTTAAACTGTTAGAAATCAAGAAGCCTCAGTATACCAAAATTTTTATTGAAAATAAATTACTATAGTGACATTATGTCAATAAGTGTTGTTAAATAAGTAAAAATGGCGTACTCAGACAGAGAAAGACAAACTATTTCAACTTATTATCTTAAAAATAATTTAAATATTTCAGAAACGGTTGAATTTAGGTATATGGTATGTTATATGAAATATGCTTAGAATTTTACAAGGAATCGAAAAATAAATTCATATATAGGGTGATCCATTGAAAAAAATAAACTTTTTGTTTTCCCTGTATACTGATCAATGTTCCAATTTTCTTTATACGTAGAAAAAAAGTATTTTTTAGTTCCTACATAACCACACTTTTAAATTTTTTGGGACACTTAAAATAAAAAAGTTAAAGGGGGGCGACATTATAGGGGATCACCCTGTACAAAGCAACCAGGTAATAGGGACCAGAAAAAGGTATGCCTATAGGCAACCTAGCTGTTACATATTCTGTATGTTTTATGCTTTCCATTGGAATTTCGTTCATTTGGCAAGCAAGTCGGTGAAATTTAAAAAATAAATTATTTTTTTAATTTTTTATTTATTATAGCTAGCCTTGATCATATTTTTTATGGCAACCCTATTGGTTTATGTTCAGAAACATATTTTATTTGATAAAATATAATTTTCATCTGGTAAGCAGATGGGTGAAGGTCGACCTTACTTGGGATCTTAGACTAGTACGAGATCGGACAGACCTTGTTGTGTGGATTGTGTAGCTAACCACTTAAATAAAGCATAAACAAAGACTGACAGTTTAAACCAAATATGCAGTAATATTGTGCGATATATTACTAATACAAAGTGGATAAGCGACATGATCCTACGTACCTAGCTATTACCACCTGCTAGCGTTATCGCTGCTTATGCACACCAGAAGATCACCGTGGGAAACAAAATGGACCAGGGGAAACCACCAGTAGCAATTGAAGACCTTGGTGCAAAAACCGGACAAGTCCATTTTTGTGATAAGCAAAAATGTGTTACAATGTTAAGTAATAAAAAAATAAAACATGTTTGCTTATCACAAAAATGGACTTGTCCGGTTTTTGCACCAAGGTCTTCAATTGCACATAGAATTTAATTAAATAGCAACGTAATTCAGTCAACTTTAGGTATGCCAGTCAAGAAACGCTTTTCGCACAGTGGAAAACAATTTCCGAATTTTTAAGTACCTTAAGAAGGAAGATAGGCCCCTACAGCGAATTAACCAACCAAGCCCCATTAATGAGCCCCAATTGAATGTGGGTGTTACTAAATCCCCGGTTGAGAGGGGATTCTGGATTGTACTTAGTTTTGGGTCAGTCTAACGACCAAAAGGTTTTCCCTCCTTGTCCCAAACTCCACTAGCCTAATCATGCATATAGCCCGGCCCGGCGAGAAAATTCCGGGAGTGGTCTTAACCACGATCTTTCAAGGGAGATTTACCAGCCGGGGTTAAACTTCGTATCCTTCAAACACAGGTAATGCTGTGCACACAGTGGTCCTGAACGAGTCATAGGTCACATAAAAATGACGCCAAAAACTCTCCAGAATTGGAATAAGGATGTCCTCTGAAGTTTAAAAATATGTTTTTCAAAATTGTAGCTGTTCCTTTTTAAAAGTTTTGCTTAATAATCCAAATTTCAAACATCATTTGGTGATTCATTTTAGTTTTTTGCCATTATCTTTAAAACAGAGGCCTTTAGAAAAAAATTTGAATAGGGAAATAAAGGTGACTTAATTATCTATTAAATCATGCCTCCATAATTAAACCTAAACTATTGCCCTGCGAAATCCATGGACGTAGTCGTGAATTTTTTTTCTTTAACTGGGTATGTTAAATTTTTTTGTAAATAACCTGTCATAGTTTACTTTCAACATTGCAGCATAATTTATCTTTAAAGAAATATAAACTATATAAAACCAAAAAGACAAGTAAGTACTTAATAATTATCAAATATAATCAAAGTAATGTTATCAACATGAGAAAAAGCATTACCTACATATTTTTTGATGAAAACTCTACAACTGCTTTTTTTAAAGACTCTTTAGGATGTGCCATGTTGTTTATCTTGTATTTATTCCAAAAATTTTATAAACTCGCGGTGGACATTCTTCCAAGTGATTAATTAGTACCTACATGAATTTTTTAAGTTTGAGATATATCAGCAGCTTTAAACATAACTACTAATGTTTGTATGTGAATTTTTATTTAGTCCAAATTTGGAGTTTTGGTGGAAAAATGACCAAAGGACTAACAGTTTGCAAAAAATCTTTTGTTAAAAGAGTGTCAGGATGTTTCAGAAGCATTTATCATGCATTTTCCTCAAATATGACACCTTGGTAGTTCTTAGAGATCAAATTCAGTGTTTTAGGCCATCTCAACGCATGTTCTTTTCCTAGAAGTTTCACTAGTCCGTTCCAAAATACGTAGGCAAAAGTGTTGCCTGGCAAAGGTGATGCCTAACTAGATTTCTTTATTTACTTCTTGTTGGCAATTTAATGTAAGCAACTGGATGGTAGTATTATTGCGTGAGCGAATATCTCAACTGAACATACATTACTTAGGTACGCAATTTATTTAATGGTCCCGCTTTTTTTAAATACATAGTTTTTTAATAGATAAACCATTTTCTGTTGTCCTTTCCTTTTTTCGTGAAATATGGTTTCGGCGATTAATGTGCAAAAACATCAAGTTTTTAAAACATTTTGTAATTAAAAAAAATTATATCTAGGGCGATTCCGCGGGAGACGATTTTTGACATACATTTTTAAATCCCAGAGTTTATTACTTTTTTTATACCAATACAAAGAGAAAGATATATATTTAATAATAAAAAAACTTTTAAGAACTTAAGTTATTATTTGAATTTTTTGGCGCGCTCAGAAATGGTGGCTTGATGCAAACTATTCATCGACACTTGATAATTTTTCCACGAAATCGCTATTACCGGTGGTTTGAGGTTATATTTCACTGATGAATATTGAAGTCATAACATTTGTTTATTGCCTTATATAAAAAAATTAAATATTTTTTATTATTTTTCTAACAATATTAATTAAATAAGAAACCATTGTTGGTCAGTTGCACCCGCGATATAAAAGAAATGAAAGTTTGGTTTTCTTGAAGAAATAAATTGGTAATTTTTTGAAACTTTGTAGAAGTAAGAAGAAATAAAAGGAAAACTTGATTCTGTCGCAATAGAACGTAAGTTGTCATTTTAATTAAAATTAACGTTGACTAAAATGAGTTGCACCCGCGATTAAAATATTAGAATCGCGGGTGCAACAGTTATGACTCTTACGATTACATTAGGGAATTTTTAGCGAGTTACCGGTAATCAGGGCCGGATTTAGCACGGGGCCAGCGGGGCCACGGCCCTAGGGCCCTCACCATTTAGGGGCCCCCACCAATGCAATATGTAGCTTTTTAATGAAACAAATATGAAAAAAAAAATGGTTATACCGCGAGAATCCTCTTATTTTCAATTAATTTTTCGTAGACCTAACTCTAATTTTTCGCGGATTTTTTATCGCTTATCCGCTTGCAAATCAGAATGTAAATTATCATACTCAAAGTTTTGTCGCGCTAAGACGTTTTATAAAGTCTATAGTCATAAGTTATGACTCATAACAATTTTAAGCAGTTGCTCGTTTAGTGCTTGTTGTAACGTTTTTGTAAATACAGGCAAAAAGTCAATTATTTATAATCTAATATTAAAGTTAGTTTTTGTCCCAGATTTTTATTGGTACATTGGAGTGTTGTGGAATATTTTCCGGTGTTTTCAAAATACGGTTTTGTGCATTTCTTTGTTCAAAAGATTGTTTTATTGTTTGATTTTGTATGAAAAACAGACAAATAATACGATCTTTGATGCACTTTTTTCAGTTTGCGGTATGTATTAAAAATACAAACAAAACATAGATCAATTTATATTTTACTTGATTAAAATGTATTCGTATTCGTATTATTCAAAATATATAAAATATAAGGTATATAAAAACACTTTCATTCACAATTCTATTCTACTTTCTACGTTTTTATAGTTTTGCATACGAATTTATAATTTATTCAGACTTGGGTAAAATGTATATAAGGTTATGTTCGTATTATTCCAAATATACAGGGTGATTTAGACTTGTTTGTGGTGACAAAAGTCCAGGCGAAATTTCTCTCATCAAAATATGAAAAAAGGTTCTTATAAACACGTGTCCGAAAATGCTTCATTATCGAGATACAGGGTGTTTCGTTTAAAAAAAATGAGTTTTTTATTTATAGCTTAAAAACGCTAAATGATTCAAGGATATTAAAAAATCACATAAAGTTCATCTAGCTTAAAAATTTACCGAGTTTTAATTTCCCAAGTGTCAAAATTTTTTTAAATATTGAGGGCCCCCACCAAATGTCGGCCCCAGGGCCCTAAAACTCCTAATCCGGCCCTGCCGGTAATAAAAAGTTAAAACCATTCTATTTTAGCGAGTAACCGCTAACTGCATAAAATGTCAAATCAGTAACCGCGGTTAATAATTGAGCTCGGAAAGCAATTGTTAACAACGCTGAAGAATTTTATGATCTGGCTCGTCGCCTTTATCCAAAAATTTCTTTTATATTTGTATCCCAAAAACAAATTAAAGAATGAAAAACCATGTTAAATGATAGGTGGAAAGGACTAAAAAATATACCAGCCATTTAATCAAAACATTTTTTTCAATTTGAGGAGGGTAAGAGCATTTGTGTTGCACGAACGTCGAAGTCTAATTTGAAAAGCAAATTAGTTTTGACAACTGATACTAAAAAAAAAACGTAGAAAAGTTACAAAAAAAGTTACGCAAAAGTTAGGCGTTTCTGATGTTTACAGCGATTCTGAAGAAAACCTTAAGGCTGATAAATCGCCGACTATTCCAAACAAATAATTTATTAAAGTTACATAGGAAAGTGCTAATTAGTGATAATACAGCATCTATGATCTCATATCTTTAATTTAAAGTTACATGGAAATGTTTATATTCACTACAGTGAGACGTGTTGCACCCGCGATAATTTTATGTTGCACCCGCGACTGGATAAAAAGTGAATAATTTATAATATTTATTTATTTTAATAATTTTATTTAAGTTAATAGTTAGTTTGTTTTGTATTCTTTTAGAGAATGCAAAAATAATTTAATAAATATTCCATAATAAACAGACTTTTTTCATTCTAGCTTCATGAACTTTAATGGTGGGCCGATTTCGTTGCACCCGCGATAGCACTTTGAACCTCTCCTGTGTCTATTTATACATTTTATTAAATGTTTTTTATATTAATTTTTGTAAAACAGATTATAATGAAATCCTGCGACCAGTCATTTCTTTAAAAAGAGATTTTATTTTCTTAGTAAGAAGCCTTAAGTGAGTCTAAATGTTGCACCCGCGAGTACGGAATCGCCCTCTACGTCAATGGTTGCGGTTAAAAAAGCATCATTTAATAGATAATTTTGTGGTCTTTAATTCTTTATTTTAAAAGTTTTCTTAAAGGGCTCACTTTTAAAGAAATTCGCTAAAAATCTTAATTTAGAGAATTAAATTACCTACAGTTGGTATTTCAATTAACTTCCAAAATTAAAAAAAGGATCACCTAAAATTTTGAAAAACATGTTTTTAAACTCTAGAAAGGGTCCTTATTCCGATAGCGCATTCAGTTTTTGTAGTAATTTTTTAGTGACCTATGACTCATTCAGGTCCTCTGTGCATGCACTAGCGGGATACGTGGAAGAAACGAAAGGGGGTAAAAATAACCCTGGGAGATCAGTGTATGATAAAGCTGATGGGGTCAGCAATAATGGCAGACCGTAAATATTAGAAAGAAGAAGTAAAAATACGTTTTGATTGCAACTTGGAGGCTTAATTATAATTATCTCTAATACCTGCTTGTTAGTTAAACTGATGATTTTGTTCCAAAATCCCTATTTTTGTAACTTTGAAAGGATGTACTTACTGTCTACTTTTAATTCTCCGGATTTTCTGTATCCCAAGTACTTGTGTTGGACGAACACCCAGTAATGGATTGTGTCGCCAACTTGCAATGCTTGGTCCTTGTTGTTGTACGACCAGATGCTGTTTTCCGGCCGAGTAACATCCTCGCTCAGGTCTCCCGGTTCTATTTGCGAAATTTTTTTGTTAAGGTTTCCATGAAAACCGAACAGTTGAACTCCATCATCGGCTACAATGAAATTCAACTATAAATATTGGAGTGACAATACAAATCATTATAATTAGAACCAAAAAAATGCCAGTATTCCATAGTTACGCATTTTATCACAGCGACAATATTTTTTATCACCTTGTTTACACGTTGCTAAGGATTTTGACACTTTTCTTGTTGACATTTAAATACTGTGTTTGTTAAATGATTAAAATAATGAATTATAAAGTTTATAAGATCGATGGGTTGGTGTAAACGATTATAAAATTAAGGTAAGTTTGAATAAATAAGGTATCGATGATAATCATACCACTTGCTATATTATGGGTGAATATATTTGTTTTTTTGGTAAAAAAATCTCAAGAACTTTAGATAAATATTTGATAGTTTATGGTGTTTAATTAGTATTTAATTTAATTAATAAATATGATGTAAAGAATAATAAATCAACCTTGAATATAAATAAAAATATGTTATTCTTAAAATGATAATTTTGAACAGACTTTAAAAATAAGACAATACAGAATAAAACAATAGAATTAATAAAGGTTTATTTTACTTTTATAATAATAATAATAATTCTTTTAAGATTTTAATGTTTTATGACATAAACAGGTAGACATTCTTAAAAAAAGGTAAGTTAATAAGTTAATAGTTTTTTAACTAAATTTTAAATAATAAAACAAAGCACTCTTAACTTTGAGATTCATGATAAAAGTTTTAACATGATTTTCATGATAAATGTTTTAACATGATTTTAATGATTTAAGTTTTGTCATAGTTTAAAGAAATAATTTATTTTATCAATGAAATCCCGAACATTGTTTTCCTGTCTTTATGAATATTTTCTCAGTAATGTGATTATGTGATTCTCTTAATGACTAAAAAAAGTTCATAAAATATGATGAATTTTGTTGAAAATTTTATACAAAATTATGCTATTAAAAGTAAAAATGACAATATGATACTTTAACTTTTTATAAAATGTAAGGGGTCTTCCATAAAGTAAGTCACACGTTAAGGGGGGAGGGGGTCAAGACTTTGTAACATCACCCAAAAAGGTGTAACGGTCAGATGTAAGCATTAAAAACAGTATACAAGAGTTTACATCTTACGTTAACCAATCAATATGGACATATGCGATTGGTTGACTTAAGCCGTAAAAGATAAATTCTGCGACAATTGTAGACCGGTCAGCTTTTATATAAAACATATTTTTAAAACCTACATTTTTTAAAATTTATCCATACATTTAATTATTAGAAACTTTAAATTTACTTTACAGACAATATTTTAAATGAAAAATGTATCAAGAATCTTGATTCAAGATGTTTAAAAAAATTAATAATAATTCATATGTGAAAAAAAACATGAAAAAAAAAACTAGAAAAAAAACGGTTTTTTGTTTTTTTTCAAAATGAAATTTTGAGTAAAATATATATTAATAATAAAGTGAAAAAAAAACCTAAAATGTGAAAAAAACCATTTGAAAAAAAAACAATGAAAAAAAACCTGAAAAAAACAAAAAAAACGCACCGTTTTTTTTCAAGTCGCATCTCTAATTACAATACTACTCGTTTTTTATTAATATTAACAACCCGCACAACAATTTTCAGTTCATAACGAAATATGAGGTCATATGTTATTTTTCACAAATTTTACCGCACGCACGGTGGGCTGACCTTGGACAAAAGTACTTCAGGGATCACTTTTTACTAGAAAATTGTTAAATATGCAGTCATTTTTGTTATATTTTTTAATTATAAAGTTATAGCCCGTAAAAGTTGATAAATTTTTAGGATTTAAGTTTATTGAAAAAAGGCAATTTTTATAAAAATTGATTATAATCATCTATAATTCGTCGACTGGTTTTTATTATATATATATATATATAATAAAAACCAGTCGACGAATTATATCAAAATTACTACCAAATTAAACATTAGTATATAGCAGTTAAACAAAATAAACAAATATAATCAAACAAACCTAGGCATTTACGATTATAAATATTGTTAAAACTTTTGGCGGCTGTTGGATTTTGGGCACACCCATATCTCAGTTATTAGACATGGGACCCACATCAAATTTATATGAGTTTATAATGACATTACATAGACAAGTTCTGCGAAAGCACAATTTAAATTGAAGTTTGTAAAGAAAAGTTCGTTTTTAAGTGTGCCCCCCCAGCCTCCTGCCTCCCAAATTAAGATAATTCAAATTAAAGTGGTACAATATTTAATTCACTGAAGTTCAACAAATTTCAAATTTTATTAAAAAAATTTAAGAATTACAGATTTTATACTATTTTAAATTTTTATTATTTCTTTTACTAAATTTAAAAAAATAGTAATGGTATAAAACCTGTAATTCTTGAATTTTTTTAATAAAATTTGAAATTTGTCGATAAAGTTTACTGAATTAAATATTGTAACACTTTAATTTGAATTATCTTAATTTAGGGGTGGCAGGAGGCTGGGGGGCACACTTAAAAACTAACTTTTGTTCGCAAACTTCAATTTAAATTCTGATTGCGCAGAACTTGTCTACATAATGGCATTATAAACTCATATCAATTTGATGTGGGTCCCATGTCTAATAACTGAGATATGGGTGTGCCCAAAATCCACCAGCCGCCACTTAAAAGGACTAAAATTTCACCCCAAAAACGACACAAAAGCCCATTAGCCGAGAAAAGCCCGGGCGATATTATGTTGAATTATATAAAATCCTCTAGTAGACAATATTGCAAAATAATAAAGCACATAGGTCACACAATTTTTTCCTTGTTTAACTGTTATTGGCGATTTTGTTTGCAAAAATAAGCTTGGACCTCTAAATTTCGAGTAAACGAGTAAATATACCTGGCGCGCACGACTGGCTTAGTACGAGAGAAATTTTATACCGTGATTTTATTTAATATAATACCTATTGTTATTATTATTAAACTTTATATTCGATTTAATTTATTAAAATCATTTTTTATAAAATAAGTTTCAGTGATGCAGTAAGTCTTGAGCTGAGCGGACGCGTCGCGTCAAGCGTCTCGATAGACGCGTACTTTCTTTCATAGTTCCATCACCGTTAAAGTTCAATAACAAAAAAATCAATATCGATTCTACACGTGATAACTGTCCCAAGTGCAAAAGAGTGCAAATTATGAGTGATACCTCCCCTGGATTAAGTCCTTAAGTGTTTTACCTGGATAAAAGGTGTGAGAGAGGCGATCAGTTCTAATGAATAATTTCCTGGTCTACCACACGTGCGGGCGGCATGCGTTACGGATCAATTTCATCACACCTGCCTGGCAATTATCCCAAAGTCTAACTCTGCATAAATTAGATAAGTAGTTACTAAAATTGCATGACCATATAATACCCAATAATATTAATACTAGTTAATACGAAATCCGCAACCTTTAACTAACAAATAATCTCTCAGGCAAAATTAATTAGTCGCAAACAATTTCCAAGATTTCCATGCACAAAAAGGAAACATAGTAAAAAAAAACTATAAACACAAGGGCACACATAAGAAGCCATTAATCACTCAAGTTACGATAATTAGGCAAAAGAAACCATCTTAAAGAAATAAATATCTTTGGATTACTAAGACGTTAAGGGGACCATAAATTAGGTAAATAACCGTTCCATGCGTAAATAAACAGCCGCACCGCACAGTGAGGCGCAAAGATGGAACCTGGCAGCAAGTGAATGGGGATCACGCACAGTGGGGTAAAAATTCGAGGGTATCGGCAATTATGCGGCTGCTTATGAAGTCGGTACTCGGCATGAGGGGCTGAATTTCCACGTAGTCAGAGGGCACTTATTACTGCGGGGTGCGGTCGGCAACACTTCGGTTCTGAAGATAAGACTCAACGCACAGGGGGGCAAACAATTCTAAAGCGGCTACTAGGAACCGAAATCCGACTCGGACAGCGACGAACAGGAAGTACACCATCAAGGATAGGCTCTAGCAGCATACTAATCCACCTACCCATATTCAGGAACCCCAACTGAATGGGGTTATTACTAAAGCCCTGGTTGAGGAGGATTCCGGATTGTACTTAGTTTTGGGTCAGTTCAATGTCCTCCAAAAACCCTTCCTAAATTGGACGTATGGCCGGACCCGGCTGACAAAAATCCGTGGAGCGGCCTTAACCATAGACACTGTCATCCACGACCTCCTGTGGATCTACCAGCCGGCGTAAAAACTTCGGATCCAATAAACACAGGTAATGCTGTGATTTGGCGGGATACGCAGGAGAACGGAAAGGGGGTAAAATAACCCTGGGAGATTAGTGGAGGATAATGGGGCCTGTCATACGTTACCATACTTATACTCATACTCATTTTTTATAAAATAAGTTTATTTATTTGTACATACCTATAAATATAACCATCAAGTAAAATTTGGTTGGAATAAAGGAATTTAACGAATACATTTTTTTAGTATTAATATTTTTTAATGCAATTATTTCTGTTCATTAAATATTTTGTTATGTAAAACTGCAATTTAAATTAAGAATATTACTATTCGAAACTTATATCCATTACTTTAATTCAACAAAATATTTTGCCATATATAAATTATGTTTAAATTAAACATACCTATATATTCAAACCAAATAGGAATTATATGTATTTCTTTGTTAAATAAACAAATTTGTTAAATTGTTTAATAAATTAAATTATTTTGTTGAAATAAATTGTAATTAAAGTAAATGTTTAGTAGCTTACAAAAATTAATAATTAGATTAACTAAATATTACAAAATAATTTGCTATATAATGCTAGTATGCAGGTAATAATAAATCTATAGGTAAAAAACAAGTGAAACGATTAATCCATACCACAACAACCTACGATTTTCTACCTTAACATACCTAATCAAATCGATGTATACAGATTTTGTTTGCCTTAAATTGTATTTATAATGATGCAAACTTATCTTAGTTTTATTCTGCTTTTATTCATTTGGAAATATGGCGACTAGTTTATGCAAAGAGCTTGTTGAAATAATGTTTAATTACAAGGACTTGAATTCATTTATTAAGAACAGAATTGGCAAACCTATAGATGATGAATTAAAGCCATTTACGGAAAAAGAAGATTTTTCCCATGTATCGTTCCGCCACTGGATGTATAAGTGTATAATTTGGATATGTCCAAGCCCTTAACGACAAATTATGTTTATTTTTAATTAACATTTGTATAATTATAGCCATTTACGGTAAAAAATAATTATTTTTCCCACTTCACGTACCGCCATTGGATGTATAAGTGTGAATTTTGAATATGTTAAAGCATATAAATGCATTAATTTGTAGTCCAAATTGAAAAATAATATCTTTTGTAGTTTTTGTTAAAATTAGCTTTTCAGCCCAGTGTGCCAGGTGCAGAGTGAGATCTGATAGCACAATCCTAATTGCGCATGCGTAGAATGTGTGCGTACAAGTATAATAATTATTGAGGTTTATTATTATACGAGAGATAATGCAAGCTTTTATTTACGAGGATAAGGTTTGCGTCTCGATTCGCCAGACGAGAGACTTAAATCATCCTAGTGAATAATGCGCATAATCTTGAGTTATCTACTCTAGTAAGTAAATGATTTTCAAAAATAAATAAATAAAATCTGACATCTGTCAAATGGTTAACCCCACTTTTTATCAATTTTAAATGTTATAGTCGCCTTCTTCCAATTTAAAACCCGACCGGTAAGTATTAAAATCTCTGATGCCTAACAACGTGAATAAGGAATTATAATGTTTATCATTATTAACGAAAAAACAATAATATGCAATAGAAGTAGAGACAAATTATTAAATGTTAAACTACCTATTTATTTTGAACGCGCGCATAATGCTCTGTGCGCATGCCCACGCCAAGGGCACTAAAATTAGGTAACTCACGAAGTGATTTTTTTCTCACGCCCTGAGCAAAATGCATGAGAAACGGCGTGAGGTAAACTAATTAAAATCTAAACTCAGGGATCCGGGTAGGTAAATTACCACTGGTATTTATTACTGTTGACTAAAAATATACCATGTAGCTTAGGGTGTGCCAAAAAAACTTGATATTTTTTTTTCTTGCTCTCCACCCAAAATATCGTAAAATATGTCCAAACAAATATTTTGTTAAAAGCGGAGCTCATAATTTCAATTTTAAGAGGTCCTTCATCGAATCTGAAGTTTTGCCGCTTAAATAACACAGGAAACTGACTTTTTTACCTTATTTATTCTTGCAACCTAGGAAGAATTTTTTTCATGATATCCATGACTAATTCTTACAAAGCATTAAATTTGGACAAAAAAATCTTTTTCGCCCAGCACATATAAAAATGAATCATATCAAACCTAAAAATATGACCGAAAATAATATATATCGTCCCTAGGGCCGCTAAACTTGATTTTTGTAGTTTTTCACAATCTAGACATCTTTGACTGACATTTATGTATTTTGGCATTTGACATTTTGACATTTAAGATTTTCAGACGTTTGTGTAAATCAAAATAAAAACGGACAACAAAAGTATAAAATAACAATAAAACATAATTTAAATTTTGTAATAAATTGAAAATGAATGGTAACTCGGACAGTGACGAAAAATTTACGAATACTTGACCAGATTTGAAAAAGAGGAAGCTAGCAATGTTAAGACAATGCGTTGAAACGGTACGAAAAGTGCTATGAATTATTTAAAAACTGGAAAAAGGATCAAAAAGCCAAAAACTTAACAGAAAATGTATTAGTTGCTTATCTATCGGAAAGATCAAAGATAATTCTAATGAAACGTCAACTTCATCTGTAGAAATAAGCCTTCAAATTCTGGTACTATCCACAATTGTGCTCAAGGCATAATTAACATTAATTGCAACAATAAATAAATTCGTAAATTGTTACTGAACTTTTTTATAAAATTCCGTTTATATTAATAAAATTTTAAAAAATAATTTGTTTGATGCTAGGCGAAAAACAGGTGTGTGTCACACATTCAGAAAACGCATTAGCAGCCCTTAGCTATCAACTGCCCTCGCTTCGCTTCGCTCGCTCGCGCATTTAATAGCCGCGGGCTGCTAAAGCTAGTTTTCTGCCCTTGAGACACAATATACTATATTAAGCCGAATTTCTATTTTCATTATTTGATTTTTTACAGAGCTTTAAATTTAAAATTTTACGTTTTTTGCCTTTTTCAGCTAAACTATTGAAGTTGGGCGAAAAAGTCAAATGGCAATTTTTTAGCTTGTCTGATGGACCACAAAAAAGTTTTAGGCGAATTTTTTGTATCGTCAATATTCTAAAAGTTACAGGCGTATAAAGTCATCATTTTTGTATTAACTTTTTGTTAGTGAAAAATTAATGTTAGCACAAAAATTCAATAAAGAATTATAAAAAAAATGAATTTTCGAAAAAATTGTCCTAGTAAAATTTGATGTACTGTCAACCATTAAAATTTACAGACTTATTTAAGCTTATTTCGATGGTTTTTTACGTAAATCAGATAAACAATTGACAATAGATGCAAAATTTTATAAGAATTTCATGTCTTATTCCATTGTTTACAGTGAATTATCGCTTAAAATACTAATAATAATATCTCACTAACTATTATCGTACAAAAAATTCTGAATCTGTAATTATTACATGAATATTATATATTACGTTGTTTATTTCTTGTTTTGTAATCTGCTGTTATAATAAACCAATGGATATGTTTGAGGTAGTTAGTGAGGATGATGAGGAAATTGGCGAATTCCTAAATAATATTCAACTTCGTGTGCACAGGCCACGGGTAAGACCGAATCATTTTGAAAGGTGGATTAATGATGATTTTTTTGATTTTTAATTAGAACAGTTATTGCAAATCCGACCAATAGGTTAGTTATAAAAATAATTACTGAATAGGTAATAGATTTTAGTAAAATTCATCACATGTAACAAAAAACGACAAATTCATTTTATAATATAAAACGAAATACATACAAATAATTCCTACTTAAAAGAGGTAAAGTTGGCAGCACGATTTTTATTCATAATAAATAATAATTATTGTTCTTTAACAATATACAGTATGTCTCAGTATCTTGGAATCATATGGAAAACTGTTTTATTATTAATTTTAGGAAAAAAAGTTATTCTTCATAAAAAGTTCTGCATGGTGTAAAACTTAAAATGCAACCCACAAATATTAGTTTTTTTTAGTCGTATACGGGGTATGTCAAAAGATATGAATTTGGCTCAAGAGTAAAGTACCTTTATATTTGACAATATCGAAAATTGTTATAAAGAAAAGTTAATCAGAACTAAAAACTACGTTCAAATATGCAATTACATCCATTTACATTAAAAAAAATATTTTTTCTTTTTTGTCTACAATATCAATGCAAATTTAACTGTAACATGTAATTTAGGATTCACTGATAAACAAATGATTTGTTGATATTCTAATACTTTTTGGCCTGCTAGATCCCCTGACTTAACTTAAGGTTTTCATGTTTTTTCTAATCATAACAGATAAATGTTCATTTAAAATAGAAAGATTAGTAAAAATTAACAAAACCTAATTTTTTAATGTAAATGTATGAAATTGCATATTTAAACGTAGTTTTTAGTTCTGATTTCTGATTTTCTTTATAACAATTTTCGATATTGTCAAATATAAAGGTACTTTACTCTTGCGCCAAATTCAAATTTTTTGACATACCTCGTATACGACTTAAAAAAATTAATATTTGTGGGTTGCATTTTAAGTTTTACACCATGCAGAACTTTTTATGAAGAATAACTTTTTTTCCTAAAATTAATAATAAAAAAGTTTTCCATATGATTCCAAGATACTGAGACATACTGTATATATACTATGGTAAATTGTTTTAAAGCACCCTTTCGCACAGATTAGAACTTTTTAAAACAGCACAGATAAACAAAACTCCAAAAGTAAACACAAAATCCTTTTGTCAAAATGACAGTTTTAACTACTATTAATGTAGGCGTATACTAAATTCGGTTGTACCAACTTAACGTTGACACCGCTGATCTTTTTCAATGTCGACTCAACAGAACTGCTGTTGAGTCGACATTGAAAAACTCATTTGACTGTGAACTGAGTTCATTAACTTAAGTTCCCCTGAACTAAGGTTTAAACCCTAATTGAAAAACCGGCCCTTAAAGTTTCTTTATTATGGTTTCCATGGTAACTAAGCGAGCGACAAAGTAAAAACACGCTCGCTCCTCGGAAAAGTGCAACTTTGCGCTTTCTTTTGGAAGCACAAATTTGTACTTTTCGCTTGGTTGTAGAAAAAATTATTTTTCTTATATGTTACCCCCTTCAAAAGAAAAAAATTATCGACGCCCTTTGGTACGAGTAGTGTTTTAGTTATAAAGCCAAACTGCAAATTACAAGCTAAAATATTCCACATGTAAAGTATGTTGTTGAGGAAACCAACCAAATAAAAGAGATAAAAAAGGTCAAAACATAATAATTAATAAGGAATTTTAAAACCTAAAAAATGAATTTTTATTATTTTAAATCTATTTCTTTTTTTTTAAACTACGAGTTTTATTTCGGTTAAATCGTTTATGCGTATTACAATTTTTTGCTAAACTTTAAATTTCTCTAATGTATGTTTTTTTGGAAAATAAAAAGTTACTTATTCACCTTAACAAAGCAATGTTATTTATTTAATTATGACCAATTAATATCTAGGTATATAACCAAATAAATTAACTTTATACCATAAAAGCATAAGAATCCTTCATTATTTCTGGATTGAGATAAACTCAATGAAAATAATAATTTAAAACAATTAACCATGTAATAAATATGAAAATTAAATAAAACATGCAAATAACTTCCGCTTTAAGCAAATGCAAAAAAATTACCTGGTATGGATACCCTGAAGCCTTTTGGTTCGTATGCTTCGAACTGCAAATTAGGAACGCTAAACTCGCACTTAACTAAGCCCAGATTAACAATTAAAACACTAAAAACTGTACATGAGTTCCACCTGATTGCAAACATTATTGGATGTATCGAGGCGCTGTAGTATCGTCTCTCGAACTGGTCAACAAATTGGTGGAAGATAAACAAATCGAAAATATACCAACTTGACCTTGTGCATGAACTGCTCGGTGACGTTCCTGCATTCTTTGTTTTTCTTATAGGTTATACGGGGTGCGTTCTCAGCACTCAAATTTTAGATGAAAGGATATGATGTTTTAGTTTGGAGATTTGGCTCGCACAACTAAACAAAATTTTCAAATAACATTTTTATGAAGTTAGAAAAATAAGGTGCGTATTCCAGTTATTGACCACATAGAGGTTTGGGCTTTGCCTTTATTAAAAGGGAAATAAATTTAAAAAATAAATTTATATTATTAAGGGCCAGTATATTCACCTTTCACTAAATTTACCCAATGCTTAATTGTCATAGTTACGATTATGTTAACTTTGACAATATGTGTGTAGTAAAAATTGCATTTATTTATTAGTTAAACAAATGACAAGCGCAATTATTCTGTTTAACAGAATCTGTTATAATCTAATGTGTTTACCACGGTCTTATATACAGGTCTTGCAACTTTAAGCTTCGAGGTGGCTTCCTTAACGTGCCAAGCCGCTAGGTGGCGCTAAGATCGAAGGGGTAAAGTCAATTAAACTACTACTTAGTTAAATGTGGAACTACTGCATAACCATAACCTAACTTTTTAAATTCTTTTTCTATGTTTTGTTTACATTTTCAAAAATTTAATATTTGTGAGTTTGTTTCGGATAACTTACGTTAACAAAATAGGACAACAAAGTCTATACTCTAGGCACAAAGTCCTCGGCCGTCACATGCCCAGACCAAACATGTTAATGTATAAAATACATACGTATATCATATATAGGTATGTTACGGCTAATGTGTAAACATGGATAGTTTATTAAGTAGCTGGGTAGTTTATAAACTAGCCAAACTGTCAGCTATTTTAATTGAAAACGTATTTTTAACTAAATTAGCGGCTAGTTTGTAAACCAACCAAGGGTCTTGGCTAATTTACTTGAAATTATTTAGGAATAGCTGGATAATTTGTAAACTATCCAATTCAATTTGGCTAATATGAAAACCGAAATTTCTAGTAACACAACAAACTAACCAACCAATATTCTGGCTAATTTATTAATAACCGATTTTTTTATTGTCTTGGCGGGGATGGGTTGATTGTTTATTTAAAATAATATATATTTCACCAACACGATGTGCTTAATTATATAATAATCATACAAAATGTGAAGGTGTCAATAATATGTTTTTTATTGCACATTGCCATGTTTTTAACCGCTCCTTATTTGTTAGCAGTTTAAACATGGACCGTTTAATTTTAATGCCGGAACGATAGCTTTGCTGGTTACATTTTGGCACAACACAGGACTTCATGTCCATTAAAAAGGACAAATACAAATGTATAACAAGAACAAATATAACAAGAACAAATATAACAAGAAAAAATAGAACAATATAATATAACAATAACGAATATTACAATAACAATAAGTAAAATTTAAAGTTTAAACTCCCTGTAACAAAATACACAAGCTTGTTTATAAAAATGTAGGTTATGTTTCTTCACAGAACATAAGTAGGTAGTTCATTTGACCTTTATCCCATAGACTTTAAGGACTTAGAGCCGGTTTTACAATCGTTAGATTAAGTTAGCTTATTTGGCGGATAACTTTCATAGAAACCTTCTATCTAAGAAAATTATCCACCAGAGAGCTTATCTAACGATTATAAAACCCAAAGATAAAGAAGGTAAAAACGACCTTTAAACATCTATGGTTCACCCTCAACTCGATGCGCCATCTGGTGGGTGTCTCATTAGAGAGGTCACTTTTCCTATTGAAATTGGGCGAAGTTGCAAGACCTGTATATAAGACCGTGGTGTTTACAAATCCAATAGAGTTTGATTAGTATGCTGTTTTTACTATGTTTGGGTTTTCATGATTTATTGAGTGTTAGTTTATATTCAAAGTGTCAAATGTTTATTAGTCTCGTTTGGGTTAAAATTAACGTTGTTTTATTGGGGCCGTTCTTTAAGTTACTGGGTTTCATGCCTTACGCATTTGTTGTTGACAGATTTATTGTCCTACTCAGCTTAGGGTGTATCACCGCGATAGTTCGATTGGGAAGTTTTGTTTTTTGTTGTTTGTCTTTTTTCTTTATTATTTTATGGTGTTTGGTTAGTATTGTCTTTCTAATGTTTCTATTGTTACTGATGTTTATTGTTTTTTTTTCTAGTTTAAGCAGTGTGCCTTTCTTAGGGTTTTAAAGGTATCTGTTGTGATTAATTTTGAAAATTATATGTTAGGTCATGCATATGCTTGAGGATACTTATCAATTTTTGCGGATGGCCACTTCCCCTCTTGTTTGACCTCTTTTGTTTGTCTAGTGAAAAGCGTCCAATGACAGGTGGTAAGACCAGCCAGGAGTTGAAACTTGTCGCTTAACTCTTTCTTATCACTTAACACTTACCTCTTTATTGATCGTTACACTATTTTAGTTTGCACTTTATGAAAATTGTTTGTTGGTTTTGTTCTCTTTTGTTTGTACAGTGAAAAGCGTCCCAGAAGCTCGCTTGTCACTTAACTCTTTCTTATCATTATTTGTTGGTTTTTAAACTTTTACGTTTTAAGAGCTCTCGCTGCTACAATGCCTCTTGCCTTGTTAAGTGCTGGAACCTGACTGAAATACCTATTTTATTTTATATAAATAAACACAATAATTTTAACAATATTAATTATTGTTACAGTTATTGTTATACTAGGTCATCCTCTAGAAATAAACTAAAACGTAAAATTAGCATGAGATCAAAATCACCCCACGAGCCTAATTGTGGGAGCCGAATTGGGCGCGCCTAACTAAGGGTTAAGAGAATTTCTAGAATTAAAGACAATTATAACTTCAAAAATAATTGGAACACATTTAGTACTAAATATTCCGGTAGCATTTCTACGATTACAACTTGATTAATTTCCACCTTCTTACCCGCTTCTCTCGCTTGATCTCAGGGAGCCCCCCTCAAGAAAACTGTAGACCCGCCACTGAGCTGGCCTACCCAGTTTTAACAAGCACCAGACGCCACTGTTTTAGATTCAAAATGTATTTTAAAATAAGAACACTTAATAAAAACATTAAATAAATAAATGTCCAGTAGGAGACAGTAAACCATTATAAAACTTTTATTAGATTTTTATTTTATAACAATTTATATTTTAATAATATTTAAAAACTAAATGTAACCATGTAATAAAGATATTATAATATATAATATATAATATATAATACAATATATATATTGTATACAATATGCAATATACAATATGCAATATACAATATACAATATACAATATACAATATATAATATATAACCTATAGGTTGTGTAAATTACTGTTTTTTTATTTTTCATTTGTTTTCTAAAAGTTAAAAATTAAAGATAATATGTTGTTCAAAGATATTATTGTTTTTCATTCTTCAAATTTTAAATAATTTAGATAAAGATATAGATTTTTCTGATTAAGCAAATAAACTATTTTATCTACTTCTACATTGGCGACCTGTGACCCCAGAACATAAGCTGTAACATAAGCTGTGACTAATAAAACATTTTTGATATAGCGAAATTTCTAAAAACAAAAAATGTAGAATTTTACATAATCATTTACCCAACTACTGAAAACTTTACCTCTCGCACATAGATGGCGCTGGGTGTGAAATCGGCGCTTATTCCGATAACGTCGCGACGCCTTTAAGCACAACACTGAAACGTCAACTGATTCGTCTGTCAGACAAATAACTAAATGAAATATTTTTTAAAAAATTAGGTTTTCAATAGGATATTTGATTTTATATTAACCAAAGCATGCTGGATTTGGAGTTTGATTATTTTTTGGAGGAGGATAAATTGTGAGTATAATTACTTTAATTTATTGATTTTTTAATGTTGTGTTTCATATGGTCGTATTATTTATTTACTTGAATAACATACCTACTAGTTTCTTAGATATATAAAATTAATTAATTTTTACATATTCAATACCTATTCAAACCGAAATTATCGTTGTTTTATAAGTTATTGTTTTAATTTATTAGTTTTTTTAAGATTTAAATTGCTTTTTAATAAATGGAGACTTTATTTAATTACTTGGTTTACATATAATAAATACTATAGTATACAGTATACTATAAATACTATAAATACTATAGTATACAGTATACTATACTGTTTTTGATTTCTTCGATAGCTTTCGATGCTTTATTTATATTGAAAACTATACTTAAATATATGATGACTACTTTATTTGGTTTACTTGCAAAAATAGTATATTGTACGAGAGATAATGCATGCAATCTGCAGGATATTATTCACAAGGATGAGGTTTCAAATCATCCGAGTAAATAATGCGCATTAGGGTGATCCAAAACTACAGTTTTAGTGATTTTTTACACTTTTCAAAGCTTTCAAACATACGAATTTTTTAATTAAAAAAAATAATCCTGGTATAGATTCTTTGGGAAATTTTATGCTCTACAAGAATCCGCGACTTAAAAATTTTTATCTCAAACGGTTCAAAAGTTATAGTCTTTTTAATGAAAAAAAGATTTTTTTACGTGTTATTTCAATGGAAAACTTAGAATGCTCACCTACACCTTTTAAAATTGAGCAAAAAATTTTGCCTTGCAGGGAAATTTTTTGCTCGGTATGTAGGATCATTTTAACCCATAAATCCGATAGGTTAGTTTTTTTGGCTCACCCTAATGCGCATAATCTCGAGTGTAATACTATTCTCTATTTACTTCAGTAAGTTGATAATTAAATAGTTTTTAATAGCAAATTAATAAAAACTGACATCTGTCAAATCGTTAACCTCACTTTTGACGCTTGACATTGAAATCGTCCAATAATGAGTTCATTATTCCCGTTGTTGAGCAGAGAATTTATAATGCATGGTTTCTCTGTGTTCAAATGTTTATAAATATATACGAAAAAACACAATATTATGCAATAGGACTAAATAAACGGTTTTATTATTTATTAAAATGTCTTAATTTTTAATAACAAAACTTTTTTTTAAATACCTTTAGGCAAGTGAAAATCTTAATTTAGTCATCTAACAAATTAATTTAGGAAAATTTGTATTTTTAATACTAAACAAAATCGCCTATACATTTATTTGTCAAATTTCAATGCCAATGCACAGAAATTAAAAAATAGTATATAGTGCAGGAGAAAAAGGAAATTCCTCGAGCATGAGAGTGAAATTTCCTGTTTTGGACAGTCGCACGCAATATTTTATTCAACTACCACAAAAAAAGTAAAGCCAACTCGACGACTTTCTGCAGAATGGGACCAACCCACACCGAGATGAAACTAAAAAAACAGCTAAAATTCTTCAAATAAAAAATAAATTGTGAAAGTAACAAATTCTTGAGTCAAAAAAGAAAAGATTTGATTTTTGTGAACCTGTGTTATTTTGGGTCATATTTTTTTTATTAACCATTAAAAAGCAAACTACATAATAACTTATATGCGTACCATATGTATTCTTATCAATCACCCAGCAGTTATCTCTTCCTGTGTGCATAAAAGACTAGTAGTCGGCTATAACTTACCTCCATATTTGCTTTGTATGTTTTTTTTGTTTTAGTGCATGATTAAGTATTATTTTTTTGTTGGATTATTTTGATTATGTATTACCATGGTCCAAGTTGGAAGTACACGTATGAGGATTATTTTCCAGGCGAAGATAAAAAGTAATTAGTTTTTTGTTTTCTAAATTTAATTTGTTTTTTTACGCTTTTGTGAGTTGCGAATTTCGGTTTTACATATTTTATGATTGTTTAATAAAATATAAAATACGTAAAAGAAAAAAATTAGATTTTAGGCAGAACGTTTTTAATCGATAATTCATACATACAATTAAAAATGAATGCTGATTGTGGTGAGTTGTTAAAATACAGTGACAGTGAAAAAAATGCAGAAAATGGTGAAAACCCCGAGAAGCCAGAAGAAAAAGAAATCATCCAGGACATCGATTTCGACAAAGAAGTCCAAATTTTTGACATGTCTTCCGAGAAGACATATAGAGAGAACACAATGTAAGTATTTTGAAACATGCTTAAAAAATAAATAGATTTATAGATAAGTTAATAAAAGCTTTAGCACATACAAACACAAATAATAAAGTTTGTTATACAGGGTGTCCCAGAACTCGCGCCATAGAGAAAAATGGAACGTGCAGAAAGTTATGCGAAACCCATACTTGAAAATTAAAATTATCTAACGCAAAGGATAAGCGAGATAAGAATAAAAAACGATAGCCAATCCCAATACATGGTCATAGGAAAATCTTTAAATTGCTAGGGTATTTATGATGCATTGTTGATATTATAATATGTAAAATATTTGGTGGACTGCACCAAAAATATAATGTAGTTGGATTAATCTATATTTTGGTGTCAAAGCAATAGTCAGCGTTTGTCAAAGTTTATTTGTTTATTTGATAGTTAAAATATTGATTTAACATAAACCAATTTTTTGAATTAAAATGTTTATCATATTTTGCTAGAAATTAGTTGAATCAAATACTAAAATTTTTAGGATTAGCTAAAAAAAACTATTAAATTAACCTTTATTTGTTCTTTAATCCAAAACATTAAATTTGTTCATTTGAAAAATTGTAAATGTTACTTTAATATTTAAAATGTTAAATTTGCATTAATAAAATTGCCGTGAAGGGCGCTTCGAACACCCACGCCACGTCATTAGACGTTGTGTATCACGGGATGTTTTTACATCTCGCCTCAGTTGGCTTACCATAGGAGTATATAAGCTCAGGTAGCCGTTTGTTTTTGGTGTGTTCCACTACACCAAATTGCCCGACACTGATGAGACCCCCAATATAGGTTGGTATTTGAAGTAGGTGGAACGCACTCAAAACAAAAACTCTTGCGAGGTGAAGGTTCAATTATTTCTCTTTATATTAATTCCATAATTTTGTTTTGGATACCAACCTTTAAGGAAGGTTACTTTTACATTTTCAGAATGTTAACCCAACCGTTTTGGAACATTAGCGCAAATTCTAAATTATTTTAATTTAACATTTTATTGGTGTTAAGTGAATATGCTAAAAAGGATACCTAGACACTTCAAGAAATTAACATCTTAAGAATGTTAGCATAACCATTTCCGAAATATAACTCCGACATATCAAGAATGTTAAATTAATCAGATTAGCAGATTAGAACAAGTTTTCTCATTTTTTTCATTTGACTGAGCATAAAGAGTTGAATTCATATTTTTGTTGTTGTTTCAACAGCTTATTTTTTTCAGTGTGAAATCCACTTCATTATCAATGTAAATTTTTGTTCCTGTCATTATTTATTATTTTAACTTATGTTTTTCTTTTCTGATTAAGTCTGAAATGATGATTGTTTATGGGGATTATGGGCGCAATGATAGGGAGGCGCAGCACGAGTTTTTTCCCAGCGCTTTCCTGACCGTTCCTTGGACTGTAAAGTTGTTCTGCGTTTTAACGAAATTGAAGGTGCTCCTTAACGTATTAGAACAGCGGAAAATAAATAAGCTATTTTCAATGCCTTTGATGAAAACAGTAGGAAGAGCATAAGGAAAGTTGCAAACGAATTTCCCGTTCACAGTTGAGTGGTTGCTTTAGATTTTGGCTCTGGAGTACAGAACTAGTTGTTTAATTTTTACTTAAAAACATAGGCTTCCTAAAGAATGACATTCCTTTTTGAAAGGTTAGTAAACACAGTCGGACAAAAGATTTTTAAAAGTTTTAAGACAACAATGTTCCATCGCCTCCTAGCAATGTTTAAAGCTGATACGATTAACCTAGGTATTGGCTGTCGCTTTTTTGCTCTCATTCAATTACACTTTTACCTAGAAATTTTTTATTTTTAAATTTGGCATCTCCATTGCTTTCAGCACGCCTCTTTTCTTCTGTGGCGCGAGTTCTGGGACACCCTGTATAATAATGTGTGTCAAAGTCAATCCAAGGACCACAAACAACAAAAAGCAAACACGAAATTGTCTGCTGATAAACAATTTTCTTTTGTTTTACAGGAGCACCGAACGCACATAGAAAATACGTCACAGCTAGATTTAGAGTAGACGCTAGTCAATAGTAACTGTATGTAAATGTATTAAAGGAATTAAATAAAAGTGTAGAGATTTTAGATTTAGAACTACTTAATTACTCAGGTCTACAGCCAAAACGATGTTTGAAAATTATTAATAGAATCTAAAGGGTTTTGACATTAAAGAAGATTATAAATTATAATTTATAATCCTGTAAGGTTTTAACAGATAGTTGACCAAAAACCTTTAGAATTCGCTTAAATGTTAAACATCTTTTGTAGACCTGTGTTATAGAATCCCTTTACAAAAACATATCCTCCCTGATGCGTTTTATTTTAATATAATGTTAATTGTTAACAAATTTTAGGGGTATGACAATAAGCTCTGGCAGTGTGACTATTAAAAAAGACAGCAACAATTTGATTGGCATTAGTATTGGGGGTGGAGCTCCACTTTGTCCTTGTCTGTACATAGTCCAAATTTTTGATAACACTGCAGCAAGCCGTGATGGAACCCTCCAATCAGGCGACGAGTTGGTTTCCGTTAACGGACAATCTGTCAAGGGAAAAACCAAAGTTGAGGTGGCCAAGATGATACAAGCCACAAAAGTAAGACATATACCTTCCCAGACAGCAATATGACGTCTTAATTAAGTCTGCATAAGCTTTATTTTATGATTTGGACGTCAAATACAACATCAGAAAGAAGTTTTTAAGAAGTTCTTAAGACTTCGAATGCCCCACCTATTGAACTAATCAAGACTTTTAAAAAAAGAACTCTTGAGGAACCCTTTTCTTTGACTTCGCAATTAAGCATTTTAAAGAGTCCTACTGTATAAACTTATAAGTTTTTTTCTCAAGAAGTCTTTTTATAAGCTTATAAAAAGACTTCTTTAGAATTTCCCGTTTTGGATATAGAACTACTACTAGGGTACTGATGAAAAAATTACATACTGGATCGTTGCTTATTTTGACATGTCAAGTTTAATTACCATAGAACAAACGACTTTGTTCAATTGATTTTATTAAAATCAATTTAATAATTTGCTCACTTTTGTTTAAATTCAAGCCTGCTCTTCACCGGCACCGATAGACGGCCTGTTTCGCTCTTTTGGAGCTCGTCACTATCGGGTAGCCGTTTACCTAGGTCTAAGACCGTTTGGTATAGAGTACGCTCTAAATTCTACTTCGCCGCTTCTTATATCAAACACAAGTAGTTACAGCGGTGAGAAGAAAGTAATCGCATTAAAATGTCATAAATCTGACTTCCCCATGTTGACTTCTTAAAGAGTTAATAATATTATTTCAGTAGGAAGTAAGAAAAGAGAATACTGTAAGATATCATATAACTGAAGTCTTATTTATGATACCCTTAGTAGCTTCTAATTTTAATTCCAATAAGAGGTCAAAAAAAACATACTTTAAGATGTTAAAAAATTGACTTCTCATTAATGAACCCTGCTTAAAATACCCCATAGAGACCCTGTTCAAACCGATAGATATTTTTATCGGAATGTATGATGTTTCTATAGGGTGTATCGGTATGTATAAGACCCATAGTTGGGATTAATGGTTGTTCTATAGATAGGGATATCCACCCTTGATTTATTTGCTATTGGTTTCAATGGGGAAAATACACATAAATGTAGAAATTAGTTTTTTTCTCATAGGACCCCATAGGTTTTAATAAAGTTTTGTCAAATGTTTTATGGGTGCTCTATAGGGATATCCCTATATATCCTTTAGATATTGAGTTATTTGCTCTCAATATTTGGTCTCAATAGGGAAAATGTAAAAGTTATGGTGTGCCTATAGGTAATTTCCAATACATTTTCTATCGGGCCGTATCCGAAAAAAAACATGGACAAATGCACATATTGAATCCGGTAGCGCCCGATAGATTATTTTGTATAGGTGTCTATAGGGTATTTTAAGCAGGGAATTCATCAAGAACTCTTAATCTTGAGCTCCTAAAATGATTTCTCTAATATGTCATATTATGACCTCGGTAAGATGTTTTTCAACAGACTTCGTACAGAAATCTTTCTGAATTGGATGCTGTCTGGGTTGTCACTAACATTTATAAATTCTAACTAAAAGTCCAGTATAAATCCTTTATTTATACTGTGCTAAAAGCTTGGTTTTAAAACGACACGTTTGTTTTTTAAGGATGAAGTAGTAATAAATTACAATAAACTTCATGCAGAAACACAACAAGGCAAAAGTTTGGACATAGTTTTAAAGAAAATGAAACATCGACTTGTGGAGAATATGAGCTCTTCTACAGCGGACGCTTTAGGTCTATCAAGAGCTATTTTATGCAACGATACACTTGTTAAAAAAATGCAGGAACTTCAAGACACTGAGCTAATGTATAGAGGACTAGTGGAGCACAGCAAAAGAGTACTTCAGGTAAATACAAAAGTATTAATACTGTTGGAACCTCTTACAAATGAATTGTATTTTAGGCTCATGTAGATTTGCATCAAACTATTAAAGCAATGGGAGATGTATTTGCAAATTTGGCTGTTAGAGAACCGCAGCCAAGGGCTAGCGAGGCTTTCAGACTTTTTGGGGAGCAACACAGAACCATGGAAAAAATTGGAAATGATATGGTTAAAAATGTAAAACCGGTACGTCTATTATTTTAACTGATATATGTCAAAAATTCTAAATTCAAGTAACAAAATGCTTCCTATGCGTTCAGAACCGATTTTCGGTGTAACATTGGCCTTACTGGTAATGTATTTTACTAGGTTATAGCAGACATGGGGACGTATTTGTACAAAGCTATTCCTGATACACGGCTGACAGTGAAAAAATATGCTGATGCTAAATTTGAATATTTGGCTTATTGCCTTAAAGTCAAGGAAATGGATGACGAGGAATGTGGATACGCTGCTATTCAAGAACCTTTATACAGGGTGGATACAGGAAATTACGAATACAGGTAATTCATTACAATAATTTTTTTTATAAAAGTACCCATGTCTAATAACTTTTTTTTAGATTAATTTTAAGGTGTAGACAATTGGCCAGGGCAAGGTTTGCAAAGTTAAGGGCTGATGTTTTGGTTAAAATGGAGTTACTGGATAATAAGCATGTACAATCTTTGGGTGGACATTTGTCTAAATTAATTAGAGGTCTTTCAGAATTACATACAAATACCATCGAATTGTGGCAAGGGCCTCCTTTATTCCCAGTTGAAGTGGATTTATCCAACAGCGCTTTCCAGTACAAATCCACAACCCCAGTTGTTCAAGTAATATAAGAAATCTACAATTTTATTGATATTACAAAAAAATAATTTTAGAATCAAGAGACTGAAGAGGAAATAGAAAATGGCCAAGAAATAAATGAAAACGATCAGGACGATAGTTTGATATGCGATTTAGGCGAAATAGAATTGCATTCGGAAAACAATTCACTTATTCCTAATTTGGAAGAAAAAAATGAGCCCAACTATGACGAAATGGATAATTTAACACTATTGTCGTCACTAAATATCCAAGAAAACCCCACTAATGGTCCACTGTTGCCAGATTTAAATTAAGTTGTATATTATAAATTATTTATTAATTGTTTTATTTTGTTAAAATAAAATATGTGATGCTTTTGATTTAAAAACGATACAATAAATGTAGAAAAAAACTTTATTTATTTAGTGTATACAAAAATTGTAAGTCTTAAAATATATAACTCTTAAATCTAGGAATTTATAGTTTTGGTATCAAAAGTCTTATACTGAGATTTTTTGGCACATTTTGGCTTAAGCTATTATAAACTAAACAATAACTTATTGCTATATAAATATTGTTATGAAGCGTCTAATGGAGCTTAATACTTATTGTCAATTAATCAAATAATAAAAACTATAAATAAATAACACTACGCTACTAAATTAAATGAGTCCAGCCAAATATCCGTAAAGGATTTTCGAGATATAACCTCACTGGGCAGAACTGCATTCTGCTCATTTTTTTCGACGGAGACACCTTTTGCGCATGCGCATCTCAGCATTTCTTCCTCGAAAGGGGAGATAACCTCAAGAACCTGCATAAAGCAAACAGGACGAGCGTTAATTCGTTCTTCCGTCGAAAGGTGGATGATGTGTCTCTTCGTGGATGGTTCCCTTAGGGTTAAGGTGTTGTGTGTAGATTCCAGTGTGTTGTCATTTCTGGAACAAATAAAAAATTTGTTGAGTTTTGGAAATTTGCTGTTTTTAGCATAAAAAGGTTAAAAGGCGATAAGATATTTATATTATTGTAAACAATTTAAAAAATAAACATTTTTATTCGTAAATAAAATAAATGAATCACTCCTGACTCACAATTTTATGTATAAAAGATAAAATTGTTTGTCTAAATTAAATTTTTGAAAACTATTGCTGATTTTTAACCGAATTTAAAATTGTTTAAATGATTTAAAAAAGTGTGACGTAGGTTCTTTTTGGACGACCTCAAAATGATTTAAAGAATATATTACAAAAATAAAATTGTATAAAATTGTTTATAGGGGAGTACTTGTGAACTCCCCTAAAAAGTGTAACGTAGGTACTTTTTGGACGACCTCTAACCACATATACAGGGTGTCCAGAAAAGGCCAGTATCTAGGGGGCGGTAAAGCGATTTGAATGTCGCTATTTTTTAATTTTACAACATAAATTTAAATATAGCTATATAATAAACGGACCCTATAGGGGAATGTCCTATAGGAACATTCAGAGATCCGTTTGTTATTGAACTAATGACAAATTTAAGGAGGTTGTACCACAAGTCGAATTTTTGGTTACCAAAATTTGGTATAGTAAACTTGATATGTCCGAAAACCTTTCTCTGCTCTCTAAAAATGAATTAGTCAAAAATGACTAATTAATACAGTTATTAGTGGCTGCTTTTTCACTTATACCATAGTATGCCATGGTATAGAATGTAGTCCCCGATATAATAGCCAATTCTTATGTAAAATTGTCCCCTTAATCAGAAAATACTATCAAAAATTTTAAAAGTAGAGCAAAATTGACCATATCTAAAAAACTGTTTTACTTTTATTACTTTTGACGAGATTTTCGGATTATTCGGACAATTTTACATAAGAACTGGCTATTCCCTGGCGAAAATGAAATGTGCAAAAGTGTGCAAAATTATTTGAGAACAATGTGCCAACAATGTGCAATCTTTTAAAAAAAATATGTGCGGAGGGTGGGAAATGGAACATGAAACAATGTGCAAAACCAAAAATTTAAAAGTGTGAATAATCACTGGACAATGTTCTAAAGGGAACTCCTTTTGATTTTTCACATTGTTTGCACACTGTTTCTTGCCACCTGTGTGCCTATTACAAAAACAGATTCTTTTTGGTGACCTATAAAGTCTTTTAAATTTACACATAATTGAAATATAAATATCCTTATAATAATATTAATCAAATAAATATTTTTTTCTAAAAAACTACATAGTATGTAGTACATACTGTATTTTATTAAGAAAAATACCTGCATTGTCAACTCCACGAAGGGGATTGCTTTGATCTTAGCAATAGGCCGAGAAGCGATACATAAGATGGAATTTACCTCACCTTTTAAATAAATGTTGTACCCCAACTCAAGCGAGATATATCTAAAATGTGCCTAAACTGTTGAGTAATCGCTAAAACTGTACAAACAATGTGCTATAAAAAGATGTAATATAAGCGTCATAAATGAGAAATATTAAAGCGTGCTAACATTGTGTATAAAATGTGACATGCGTAAGATAGACTGAAGCTTTGCAAAATGTCTTTAAACAATGAACTAACACTGTGCAAACAATGTGCTAAAATATAATGTAATATAAGCGTGACATATTACAAATAAAAAGCGTGTTGTCAATGTACATAAAGAGTAAAGTATTATTTCAAAAAGTGTGAAATTACCACAAAGCGTGTATGCACATTGTTATAAAGACTTGCACTCCAAATACCATAGAAATAACACTCAGTGTTATTTCTATGCCAAATACACACTTATTGCACATTATTCATGCACGCTTTATTTTCGCCAGGGTTAGGTATATCGGGGATACCATGCTATTCTAAGACAAAGTCTTAGATGCTATCCCATGGTATATCATGGTATAAATAAAAAAGCAGCCACTAATAACTCTAGGAATTAGTCATTTTTGACTAATTAATTTTTAGAGAGTACGGAGCTACAAGCGTCAAAAATTCAACACACCTTTTAAATTTTGCGCGCTGGTTTGTGGTTTTGAACCATTGAAAAATTATATGAGTAATATTATTAAGAACTAGAAAATTTTATAAGTATATTTTTGAAGTATCGTTAAGTTAACTTAAATAAAAAAAATCTAAATTGGTTTTATCGGGGATTTAACTTTCATACTATAAAGCATGCCCAGCAATTAAAATATTTTTTTTCCAGTTTATAACAAAATATAATGTTTGGCCAAAATATCCGTGTTTACGAGAAAATGTATTAATAAAATATTTAATAATGAAAACATTTTACATAATATTATAATTTTAACAGTTTTTGTTTATACAAATGTGATGTTTTTCTATAATTTATAAGAGGGTTTTTGCATTCCAAATAAGGGTTTCGTAAATTTTACCATTTTGCGACAATCATAATATGATATTATTATATTTAATATAATCTATTTTTGTTTTTCACAAAAGAGGCATATCCTGAAATGTTCTTGTGGCAGTTAATTATTTAGCTATTATTTTAAAGAAAACACCATTTGAAATAAATTAATAGTTTTCAACCTTAGACAAAGTCTAGGTTTACAACTGTAGCAACTGTTCTACACACCATACGATTTGCGGGGGGGCAGGGCGATTGAACACCCAACTAGCCGATATCGAAAAGTTCGTTAAAATTTGAAACAACAAACAAGACAATCTACATATTGACCCCCGCAAATTGCCGTTTAATACGCGTGGAAAAATATCACAATAATAAAATTTATATTAATTTAGCATATTTTCTTAGTGCACGTGCACTGAATATTTTTTCAATGACGAAATACCAATAACCACACAATTAACCTTGATCAGATCTAATGGTAACAGATACTTCCTTGTAAAGTGGGCATTTCTTGCCAAGAAAATATTTTGGTAAAGTCAGGAAGTTGATGATTCATTAGGTTGAGACCTACTTTTAACATTGGAATTTATTTTTATCAGACCATTAAAGGAAATGATCATTTATTGTTTAAAAATGTGAAATATGCAGTTTTAAAAGTTGAATATTTTACTATTTTTTTTAAATTTAGATTTCAATAAACATACTCGTGTAGATAAATCTGAGAACAGCACCAAAATCACGAAACAATTCATAAAATGTCCTAATAAAGTTATGTCGTAATTTTGTGCTAAAAATATCTTTTAATTGTTACTAGAATTTCTAATCAAAACGATGAGATTTTTGAACTATAATATTTAATAATTATTATTGTTACTATCCTTTGGATTCTTTATAAATCATTTGTTTTGAAATTAAAATGATTAAATGTAGATACAGGGTGTTAAACTTTGATAAACTTTAACAAACATTTTTGACAAAAAAGTACCCCACTGACTTTTTTGTAATTTTTATATTTTTTTGGATTAAGCAACTAAAAGTACAGAGAAAAAAGGGATTAAGTGTATTTTATTTTTTTTCTTGGAAAATAAGCAAGATACGAACAAAATTCAGGAGATAAAAAAGTTGTATTTTTAGTTGCCTAATACGAAAAATATAAAAAAAATTGTCAAAATATTCGTTAAAGATTTTCTTGAAAACGAAGCATATGCGGATAATCATCTGTTTAATGTATTGTACATACTTAAACACACCCGAAAAGTAACTTTTAATTTTTTCCCTTATAAAGTTACTCCCCTCAAAACTTATGTTTTTAACGAAACAATATCGTCTTTTAGCAATTTTCAAAATTTAAAGTGCTGTTAGCAAACAATTTTTATTTGATTTTGATGACATTTCAAAATTTTTAGGTTTTAGATCCACTTAATTGTGTGAAAACTTTAACACAATTAAATAAAATTTTTCAAAATTTTATTTAAAGCAACCGCGCGTGTCAAAAGTTATATTTACAGTCATTTTTGCTCCTGGCGTTTTTACGACTTCTTGAATAAATTTTGTGAAAAGTATTGAATTCAAATATGTTTTTATATTAAATTTAAAACAAAAAACAATGACACTGTTTAACAAAATGTTTTTAAAAAATATACAAAACATTTTTTTATGAGGGACCAAAAGAAAGAAAACAAAATGTTTTATGAACATTTTTGAAGATGTGTTGTTTCTGTAATAATAATTTTATGGTAGTTCTTAGCAATAAAATTAAGTAAAAATAGCATTCATAAAATTATTGTTATAGGAACAACATATCTTCCAAAATATTCATAAAACATTTTATCTTCTTTTTTTTGTCCCGTTAGTAATCATGGAATCGCCCATGAGTAGCTGCTAAAATAAATGTCAAAAAATGGTAAACATGATTTTTTTAGAAGAAATATTATATGATTAAACAATTTATTAATCAATTTTGTTCACGGGTTTTTTTTAAGTAGTAGGTAGTACCTAACAGCGCCAGGAGCAGGAATGACTGTAACCATAAGTTGACACTTTTTATTTAAAGTTTGAAATTTTAATATAATAAAATAATTGAAAAATCGTTCTCGGAACAGCACCTTTTAAAGGGAATATCTTTATAAATTAGTATAATATAACTTTTTAGTTTAATTAGGACTCATAGCCACATTTCCAATGACGCTTGGTTAAAGTATTTGACTGAAATAGTATATTACACTACAAAGGAGGTAAGTAGATTTTACCAGTCGAGGACGAGGATGGCAATAGAGTTCGAGACTGGTTAAAACTTACCTCCTGCATGGAGTATAAAGTTTTATCTGCTTCCCCAGCTAGGTTTCATGTATTAAAAATACTTTTTTGATCAATTTATTTTGACAGACACTAAGTAATTTGTTGACATTAACGGATGTCACGTAGTGAAAGTTGCTACTTTCCGCACGCATAACCGTTCGGAAAGTCGCACTTTTCCGCACGCTTGATAAGTAAATGCGCGCTAAAAGTGTCTTTTCCACCCTCGACTGCTGACCACTTCAATTTCAACGTTGCTACCCGGTGTTTATTTGATTTAGGTTATTATTAAGTTAACATACAATACAATTGTATTCCAAAATTATATTTTGATAGGAACCGATATTTTAGTTCCTCTGAAATATCTGTCAATTGTCAACATTTTCCTGAAACTTGGTCGTTTGGTTACTGAAAAAGCGAGCGCATATTTTTAACAGTAACATTTTTGTTGCTGTCAATTTTTAAATTATATTGTGTGTATAAACAAATAAATAAATCCCCCCAATTATATTATAACAATTTATATTTAATATTTAATAGGTAATTGGAGAAACATGGAGGAAGGTTGTAGATTATAACTTAAAATGTATGCATTTATATTAAGTAGCATACAATTATTAATAGGTATTATAATATAACAAAATTCTTTTTAAACATTAAATAATACAGTGCCGGTTTAACTTAAAATGTATGCATTTATATTAAGTAGCATACAATTATTAATAGGTATTATAATAAATCAAATTTCTTTTTAAACGCTTCCTATCAGGAACCTCTTCACCCTCACTGGAACTATCGTCCCAGTTAATAATTTCAAAAAAGACTGCTGCTGGATTTATTTTAAAAATATTGTGTATAAAAAACACCCAAACAATAGAAAAAGTTTGTTAAGAATAACCGACAGATAACCGCTTTTTGACAGCATTCCAAAATTAGTCCGTTTCTATCAACCGCTAACGTGGTATTGGTCATAAAAAAATAATTTCGGAACATAACTTAAGTTAACCCAGTATTCATGTAATAAATCCATATTGAAAAAAAAATCATTACTTAAAAGAATAGTATATTAAAGTACAAGTTGCAGAAGGCCACATATTCTCGCACGCATTCGAAATTTAGCCTCGAGCGACGAAGGAGCGAGTGGACGAACGAATGAGTGCGAGAATAGCCTTCTGCAACGTGTGATTTATACTATTTTCTCGATTTTAACTTTTATTTAGGTTTTTTTAATTGTTTTGTGGTCGTTGTTAGTTGGGGGATTTTTCTCGCAAAATGTCAGTTGGCAACACAAAATGACAATATTTGTTATCCTGCACAAGTACAACCTGAACTGCACTTTTTTACATTTAAAATGCATTGTTGGAGCAAACTTAATATTACAAAACAATAATAAAAGCTTTATTTTCAATAAAAGTGTAGTTCAGGTTGCACTAGTGCAGGATAACAAACAAAGCTATTATAAATAATCCTAAAAGTAATGAATTTGAGGTTATTAAACAGTTTGACATTTTGGGGGTACCAATACTTAAAAACTAAATGTTACCAAAAATCGTTTAAGAATGAGCTTCATTCTTCAACGATTTTGCGTGCGAGAATATGACATTCTTACATAAAAATCGAGAAACACACTTTTAATATACATACTGATACAATACACCCTGTACCAAAAATGGGGCACTATTATAGTGTTACGCATATTTTAAGTATTAAAGTAGTTTTTTTCCTTTTTAAAACGTGATAATAAAATTCAATTCTAAACCTACTATTCCAACACACTTTTAATACTTATACCTATATAGTGTTACAATACACCCGGGTACCCTGTACCGAAAATGGGGCACTATTATTATAATAGTGTTACGCATATTTTAAGTATTTTTTTTTTCTGAAGAGTAATTTTGAGTTATAAAGTGTATTTATGTTTAAAAAAACCTACAACGGTGTTCTTACTACTTTGAATATTGCACATCTAAGGGTTGTTGTGGAAACAACATAAATAAGGTATCTAGCCGCTAGTTGAACATGGTTGGTTTGCGTCAAAAAATTCAAACTAACAAAGATAATAATATAATATTTATGATAAAATTTTTTTAACTTTAAATAACATTTTTGGAAACCCTGTGTTCCGGTTTTTTACTATTTAAGAATAAAACCTACAAATTATTTTAAAACATATAAAATTGCGTGCTTATAATTTTTCTTTATTTTACATAAATTAAATCTTACCCAACATGGGCACATCATTTGTAATCTATTTAAATGTTTAATTTGTTTAAATGAGTAAATAATATTATACATAACTAGAAATATTTATACAGTATGTCCACGGATGGAGTTACAAAGAGGAAAAAAATATTTATTATTTCTCAGAAAATTTTATTCTTCATAAAAGTATTTGCTTGATTTCAAACCCCCAGAATATGCAACACATCATTTTTATTGTCTATGGTTAATTTTCAATTTTGATTTTGGGCTAAAATTTTTTTTTTAATCAGTTTTTATTTATTTGTCATTTCTCAAAAGAAATCGTTTCTATAGAAATATATTGACATGTTTAAAGCTTTTGCTTTTTAATTTATCGCCAATAATACATTTTCATACTTTTCATAAGGAAAAATTAAAGACCAAAAATGATTTATATGAAAAAAAATTTCAGTCCAAAATTTTCCGAAAAATTAAAAATGCAAATTAACCATGGACATTAAAAATGATGCGTCGCATATTGTGTAGGTTTAAAATCAAGCAAAAACTTTTATTAATAATGACATTTTTTAAGAAATGTAAAATCATCCGTGAACATACTTTAAATAAATATAATTATTTTTGTACTTAATTAGACTATTTTAAAATTACCTACAGTGTGACCCATTTGTTTGCGACTCATCCCTGTAAAATCTTTATTTATTGTACGATTTTAACCGGATTTGTAATAATAATTATTTTTGTACTTAATTAGACTATTTTAAAATTACCTACAGTGTGACCCATTTGTTTGCGACTCATCCCTGTAAATACAAGGCCTACTATGTCAGTTTTTAAAAGTAAATTTTTAAGAATTCATATTAGCGATTTTTTTTAACAAAATCTAAGCACGGCACTGGATTCAACACCCCTCAAAACGACCCTTTACTAAATTTTATTTAAAAATTTTAAGTAGAAAAATGCTCAATAATAACCACAAAAATTTATTTTGTCAAGTTATCCTTGAAAAAAACATTGAAATAAAATTAAACTTATAGTAATAGTCAGCGGCGTAACTGGAAAAAGTGCCGCCCGGGGCAGCAGTGGCTGTCGCCCTCATGTTTTTTTTGGGGGGGAAGAGAGGTTAGGTTAGGAGTCAGTTTTGAGGACCGTACGCAAAATTAAAAATATATAATTATATATATAACATTAAATTGTAATATTTTAAGAATTAAAAACAAACAAAAATTCTTAGACCTAGGAAAAACAACAAATAAAATGTGCTTTAACATAATTTATATGAAAAAAACAAAGAGATAAATTCACAACCTTATGTAAAAGTACCTTAAAAAAAAAACTTAAACCTGAGTAAAAAATAAATAAAAATGTTTAAATATTTAGGCAAAGTTTCTATTTTTTGCTAGCTTTATTTGATTTGGAATATTTTGGGAGTAATTGTATAAATCTCAAATCTATTGGAATTTGAATTATATTATTTCGAAAGAGAATATTTAATTATCAAATATTTTTTTTATTTTTATATTCTGTCTTCCAGTTTTTTTCGCATTTTCTCTCACGATTTTTGCCGCCCCAAGAAGTGCCGCCCGGGGCGGACCCCCCCACCCGGGGTGAGTCGCAAACAAATGGGTCACACTGTATATAAAATTATTTCTTAATTATACCAATAATTATAATAAAAATACAATTACAGCATTAAAATGAAAATAATGCCATAACAGCAACAATTATATTTTATTATAATTCATATACGATTAAGAAACAAACATACATTCCAAAGATAATAATATATTTTTGGCAATAACAATTCAATAAACTAAAATTGATCATGAGAATTTAAATAAAACTACAAATAATCGTACTAACCTGTTGATTCTCAAAATATAACTTTCATAGATCATTTGGCACTTCCACAACACTTGCAAAATTATCAAAGACAATTCGCTTCTAATATTAGACCTCATCCTATATTCTTGAACATTTCACGTTACTACGTAAGTACACCCAAATCTGACCGCGGTGTCTCATTGACAGACACTTGAATAAGTAAGGATCTTACACAGTATCTTTACTATAGTCGCTGCCCACTCTTTTACTATCCGCTATCGCTGCTAGACGCCCCGATTCGAGCACCTTGAAAACGCGACGCGGCGTATTAATAACCAACAATGGTTCTTAATTTCGTGGATAATTAATTTTAAGTCCGCTGCGTCACCGTAAATGTATGTACCTATTTAGTATGTGTGCTCGTTGGTGCTAGTGTACTAAGTCGCTATAGATTTATGACACCTACATATTTAAGTGAATTTGATTAGAACGTTATGCTGCCGATATGCATGCAATATTTCCCAGAACAATAGCAAGTTTGTTTGCAGTGCAAAAATCACTTGTTTATAAAAAATAATACATATTTTTGAATAATAATGTGTTAGATAATTATGTCTATATTATATTTACTAGATTTAAGTACACGTTTAAATTAACACCAGCACCCTTGGTGCCATTCGTAAGTAAACCACCATGTAAGATATCTTATGTCTCATAAATTGCCTTTGTATACAGGGTGTCCCAAAAGTCAACGATATTCTTTGGAGGACTGACCAACTCATGACTAACCAGAAGATCAAAACATGACCTTAGTAAGAAATCGTTAGTTTTTGAGATATAGTCATTTTTATGAATTTTGTAAAACTTGACACCTTAGATTAGTTTTTAGAGTGCCACATCTACAAAATCTACCTACTATTAGTTTAATTTTGAATTTTAATTAATAGCAGGGTTACACAACATAAAATATAATCTAAGAATATAGAATTTTGTAGCTGTGGCACTCGAAAAACTGATCTTAGGTGTCAGGTTTCACAAAATTCTTAAAAATGCCAATATCTTTAAGATATTATCTTAAAAACTAATGATTTTTTACTAAGGTCATGTTTTGATATTCTGATTAGTCATGAGCTGACCTATTAGTCCTTCAAAGGATATCGTTGACTTTTGGGAAACCCTGTATAAGATTACTTTAAGAGGCCGCATACTAAAGCTAAGAACCCACTTGGCCCACGCCACGCTACGCCATGCTACTCGACGTCGACTGACGTGGGTTCACGTTTTCGAGTCGCAGTACACACTAGTAATACGCTACGCCACGTCTTATGACAAACATATAAAATAAAATTGCTTTATGAAATTATGAAATAATAATAAAATTGCTTTATATACTTATTAGTATTAGTATTGTTCGTTTTGGTAAAGAAAATGGAGTTTGAAAGTAGTTCTTCATCTGATGAATGGGAATGTGAACTAGAGGAGTGTGCTGTTGCTATTATTATAAATAAAAAACATAATTCTTTTAATGTTGATTGTACAGGAACTCATATGAACGCACTTTTTCAATGATTTGTTCATACATGTTTGAAAACTGTTTACAGAACATGCGCACTCCGTGTGTAGCTGCATGGAGGGGGAAAACACGCGTCCACAGTGTGGACTCCACACGTCTCTTCAAAATTCAAAACAATTTGATTTTCGAAACGTTGTTCGACGTCAGGTGGCATGGTGTAGGGTGGCATGGGACAAGTGAGTACGTATTGCATTGAAACCTGTGTTAAATGTCTGCATAACAAAACGTCGCGTAGCGTAGGGTGGCGTGGCGTAGGCCAAATGGGTTTCCAGCATAATGCTGAATTTTGAAGAGACGTGTGAACGCGTGTTGTCCTCCTCCATGCAGCTACACACGGAGTGCGCATGTTTTGTAAACAGTTTTCAAACATGGATGAACAAATTATTGAAAAAGTGTGTTCATATGAGTTCCTGTACAATCAACATTAAAGAAATTTTGTTTTTTATTTATAATAATAGCAACAGAACACTCCTCTAGTTCCCATTCCCATTCATCAGATGAAGAACTACTTGCACACTCCATTTTATTTACCAAAACGAACAATACTAATACTAATAAGTATATAAATCAATTTTATTATTATTTCATAATTTTATATAGCAATTTTTTTTATATGTTTGTCATAAGACGTGGCGTAGCGTATTACTAGTGTGTACGGTGACTCGAAAACGTGAACCCACGTCAGTCGACGTCGAGTAGCATGGCGTAGCGTGGCGTGGGCCAAGTGGGTTCTTAGTTTTTAGTCAGGTTTCTTGTTGAACGTGTATAATAATTAGTAAATTACTTAATCAACTACCCGTGTTTAATTAAAATACATCTCTAACAAATGAGACCCAGATTTAGTTTTACACTTTTTTTAATATCTTCTTTGGTCTTAAACAATTTACTTTTTTTACTCCCACCTTTAAAACGCCTATTATCGTACATGTTTTCATGATACTAAGTCACCTATTAGTACACATTGACAAGTTGAGGCTGTTAGTTGACATTTGTCAAATGTCATATAATCGTTAAAATAAAGTGCCCTTTTTGTAAAATAATACTAAATGTAAAGCGCAAAGTGATACATTGCCGCTCTGAGGACACAGGATTTTTTCTACAACCGATGTTTCTAATGTTTGGTAAAAATTAATAATTATTGATAACCCCAAATTTTACGTTTAAGTCAAAAGTCGCAAATACACTAAACGTTTCTTTATTATGGGTTCCATGGTAACTAAGCGAGCGACAAAGTAAAAAAAAACGCTCGCTCCTCCCCAGTAAGCACCAAACACTCGGCAAACAGTCGGCCTTCGCTCGGCAACTAACTTCTAGCCGGTGCCCCAACATCGATCCCGACTGGACAAAGAATTTATTATATATTATACAATGCATCATTATCATTTAAAATTGACGGCACAACAATAATATAATAATAAATTGTACCTGTATACATGTTAAGGGCACGTTAGTTACGTAATAAAACCAAACCAACCCAAACTCAACAACACAACCCAACCGACCCCGCCCCATTGGCCCCCCCCCGCCCCATTGAGCAAAAAACCCAACTAAAATGGGCAAATTTATGTTACGATAAAAATAAAACACTTTTTAACAAAGGAACAACAAATTTATGAAATAAAAAAGTAAAAAAAAATCGACAACTTCTGAGTATCGAACCCGGGACCTCTCGCATGCAAAGCAAACGCCCTACCATCTAAGCTATCCAGCTTGACAACAAATTCTGTATGTTCGGGGAACAAAACCGGATTATTATTATGACGTCACGTTATAAGGCGGTTCGTGCCAGCTCGTGAGAAGTCGGGATCGATGTTGGGTCACCGACTAGAAGTTTCTTCGCTCGGCATAGGCGGTTGACCGGCGGTTCGGCTGTCCCCAGCCGGCCCGCTTACGGCCCGCGTTATGTTACCGTTTAGCCATGTTCTAACCGAAGTCGGCCAGAATATGGCATGCCACTGCAAAATCCTTAGGCTTGCCCTAGCCGGCCCGCTTACGGCTGGAATACGGCCTGCCGCGGCAAAAGCGATACATCTCACGGCTGCTTACGCACGCGAGATAACTATAAATAGCGATTGATTGCAATATTTAGTTGGAAGTGTGCATAGCTGAACATTCATCTACATATGCTGAGTAACTAATAATGTCTAGCTAGTCGAGTGTGTTAAAGAAGTATCTTGCCATTCAGAGAATTTCAGGACTGAACTTATAGGATATACCTCTCCAGGACCTCTGTAGGCTTTTTTTGAATGGCCAGGCGGTTTTGGCCGGCACTCGGCCAACTATACACAGCCGACACTCGGCCGAGTAAACATAGCCCACATTCGGCCATGCGGATATGCCCGACAATTGGCCAGGCAGACATGCCCGTTCTACACGCCGGAAGAAATACGTGTGTTGGACCGATTCGGCAAAACGTTTTCCGGCCCTATGCGGGCCGGCTAGCTTGTGCTTACTGGGTCGCAAATTTGTACTTTTCGCTGGGTTGTATTTCTTTAGAAAAAAATAATTTTATTATCTTAATACAAAAATACAAAGGTATTAAATAGCCCAAGATGCATTTTTAGTGGATGAAATGTATCGGCCACTTATATTTGCCAAAATCTAGGCCCCGTGGTAGAAACGGTAGCCGATTTTGAAGTTAATGTGATGTGTGGTATTTTGTTTTAAACAGGCTCTGGGTGCTGTGGACACCCCGTTCGCATTTTTAAGTAAAATTTTGTTGCATTAATTTGTTGATTTTTTTAACTTTTGTTATTACTTGAGCAGACTGGGGTTTGTCTCCCTATTGACTTTTTTTTACCGAATCATAATTAAAAGTAAACCTTTTCTTATGTTTTTAGTGTTTTTATTATTATGACTTTTAATCGTTAAACATAAATCACACATATATGACAAGATATGGTTTTAATTTGCAACATGATCGTCATAGAATGAGCTTATTCGAATTGAATCCTTTATATATGGGTCCAGTACTATATAATATATTACCAGCTGAGTGGAAAGTTTTACCACTTAAAAGAAAGAAGTGTGTAAAAGAGTTTTTAATAACAAATGCTTTTTATTCTATAAGGGAATTTTATATGTATGCTTTTTAATATCTATTTTATCTATTTATTATTTTAATCAATGCATTTCGTTATTGTATTATATTATATTGTTTATGTTTTTTACTTGTTATTTGTTTATGTTATTTATTACTGCTCATTATTTAGTACCTGCATGATACAGGTTGTATTTATTAGGGTGTCCCAAAAAAAAAGAATATATTTTTTTTTCTTGTCTCTTGTAAAAATATGTTAGTTTATCATGGTGTAAGAGCCCTTTCAAAATATCAGCTCGATTAAAAATTTTGTAGGGGTCGCACTATGTCGTAAACAGAGTGATTAGGTGACCAAAAATATTTTTGTTGAAAAACATATTGAAAATGCTTTTTTGTTATACAAAAAGATAATTTTTAATAAATTTAACCATTAGTTAGGATTAAAAGAAGCTAAGTACAGGGTGAACCACGTAAGATAACCCATATGCCTATCTCAGAAACAACTGTAGTCATGAAAAATTTGTAGGGAACAAAAATATTTGAATTAATACATTTTTTTAATGTTGTAATTT